TCCTTACCGTATATCCTTCAAAGTTTGCAAAAACATGTATACCTCAATAGTTTATGCATATAATAACATTTACAACTTTCTGTATTTAGAAAATCCCTCCAGTGTACCAAATTATAACGTATAATAAATCTAAACAGCATAGTTAATAACGTGGTTACTTTGTATTTGTAAAAAAAAAATTGTTAATACTTTATCACTAACATATTGTAATAGTCTGAAGAATGTTACAAGAAGATATGGGCAGATTGCTCTACGAACAATAAACACAACACCTTTGTAGTTTCTTAAGAACACTTAAATAACTCTTTATGTTACCACCGCTTAAAGGGTCATTCAAGTGTTTTAAAGACGCTAACAAAATACTTCACCAAAGAAGATATGACCCTATGTAATGTAATGTATTGACAAATTGTATTGACAATTGACATCAATTAATGTTTTCAAATGTACTTTCGCTGTGTACTTTTTAACACATTTTTAAAATGTATATGAACAGCCTTACAACAAAACGCGAGTAAAGTTAAACTTAGGAATAAATTGAGTATAAGTAAATATTAGTACAAATTTTGTTTACTCAGTTTATTCCTAAGTTTAACTGTTTACCGTGTTTATTTGTAAGGCTGTAACAGTATATCAATGTGCTCTTTTTGTATTTGTAATAATTATTTAAGTAGGATTAAGAAAAGTTGGATGGACGAATTAATTAAATATGCAACTAGAGATATTCAATGTATGTGATTTAATTTGACCTCTCTCCTATCAAGTTAGCAATATTTAGTAACGTATATGTTTGCAATTAATGTCTATGTAATTAATAACCAATTTACTTTATATAGTTATAATGTGTGGATACACAAATTTGTAGTTTTCTCAATCTCTTATAGTTTTGTTATATAGTGTTACCGCGCCACAATACCGAAGTTTGTTTGTTAAGATTACTAAGAATGTACCAGACAGACCAGAATAATATAATTATTGTTACTAGGAGATGAAACCAGCTTGTAAGTTGTAATAAAAATAAATGAATTCGAATTATCAATGTATTTTTATTCTAATAAAAATTCCCCATTTAATAAATCTTAACATTGAACCACGAGCTTCATTCTGACACTACTATGAATACAAGATATTGTCATAACTTAAAAAAAAATAATATGTTAATACAAAAGTCGAAACATAGTCACTTAAGATTAGCTCAGCTGAACAGTTCGACAGATCAGCTCACATAATCTTGACCTGCGGCTCAACAATTAAATTTATCTCATACTTAACTGGCTTAGGACACGAAATACTACAAGTATAACTATGGGAGCCGATGAGCCGCGACCTACCCTAGGACAACATCACGCAAATCATACCCCTATACAGGTACGAATTATGCTGGTCGTCGGGACAATTGAATGATCTGTTTCATAAAAAAGTTTTTGTAATAACCAATTGCGAGCACTTTTGTATTTACATTGTGAAGCAGTTCAAAGAACTCGTAAATGAAAAAAAACACAAATTTTATACTCGACGTTAATGCACATAGATATCTAATAAAGTGGGTAAAGTTGCGGTCCAACAACTTCGACAGAAATTATAATCTAGAATTCATAATAAACTTAATGGACATTTCTAGTAGTGAATATGGTGATAGCGAAGACAAAAATAATAACAAATTCCAATTACATTATGCACGACCCTACGATAACATAGTGCATGATAAACTCTCACTCTTTGTATTTCATATCTCATATTGATTTGCCTTGGAATTAACGAATGAAAAAAATCAGTGTTTTTATTTTGATCCATAAAACATCACTGTGAATCTATCGATTCAAACTTCTACCAGGGTGAAAATCGATAAGATCAATACTTGATTTTACTAAACCCATCACAAATATCATGATGATAACTTACGACTCTTCATTGTTAATTCTAAACAAAAAATTATAAATATATCTCTTCTTTACTTGAATTATCCTAAAGCTGAATAAATTAAATAGGTCATGAGTTGCAAATATACAAACAGTTTGCTTTTATATTTAACGTAAGAAAATTTTGAAAGAAGTATGAGATTTCGTAAATCTAAAACCTAGCAGACCACTGTCAATGTAAAAAACTCCCATAAGATGCTTCTAGGTCAATACAACATGTTCCAAAATTCAACAATAAGCCCGCATGGATGGCGAGGTAGACCACCACATAGAGAAAATAATAATAATAAAAATTACAATACAAACGAACAGACGTTTAAAAATAGCTAATAATTATAAATGCTAAAGTTTAGATGGATAGATGGATGTTTGTTAAAGATTGTAGCCTAAAGTGCTGAACCAATTTAGATGAAATTTGGTATAGATGTAGAGGATAGTATGGAAGAATACGTAGGCTACTCATTTTTGTTTTTTTATTGCCACGTGGACAGAGTCGTGGGTGAAAGTTAGTAATAATAATAAAAAATACAATTCTTTTCGTTTCAAACATAGCTAATAATGGCAAAAAACAATAGGACCGAAACATCCATACTATAAAAAAGAAATTACTTCAACTGTTTTGTTGAGATTTAACTTTTATTCAACTTAGACATGCTACTGTGTAAACATAATGATCGACGGTAGCACTAAAATGGTATACTATGACAAAAAAATCCTCCAAAAACTCTAAAAAACACTCTATCAAGTAGTAGAAGAGATTATATAACATGGTTTCAAAGGATACAATAAAAAATATACTCAGTGTTCAAAATAGGGTTTTCAATTTCATAATCATGTTAAAAATTATCTTTGTTCATTATTTTGAGATGAAAACTAAGACACTCTTAACGTTGAATTTTAAGACATGTACCTATAATAGTCTGATCAACTATATGAAATGTATAAGTTAAATGCAATTGGATTACGTATGGCTGTATAAGTAATAGTGTAGTAATAAATATCTGTAAATTCTGCAGGTCATTATTAATTTGAGAAAACAATGTTTTTTTTAAATCATAAGTTATAACTATGAATCTATTAATTCCAACTGCTATAAGAATAAAAATGGAAAATTGATAAGATTCATGCCTGCTTTTGCACAACCCATTTCTACTAAATTTGAAATGAATTGTCAAACTAATCTAAATTATTTTGACACACTATAATCTATCTTATTTAGGCAAACTCTATAGAACAGCAGTACATCCATGTACTTCTATAAGTACATGGATGTACTGCTGTTCTTTACTAATACATCCATGGTTATAGCGGATTAGAATTATAGTGCCTATATATAGAACCTTTTTGACATTGACAGGATGGCGTCTCTGAGCATTTAGAGTTACCAGCAAGCTAATATGTCCGCATTAAAGGGAAATTCTTTCCTTTTGAAAACGATAACGCAAATTGTAAAGGAAGTACTTGTACCTTACAATGTAACTAGGAAATGCCCCAGATTTGTTTGTCGGTATGATGACCCTATAGTTAAAGAATCTTTGCAGCAAACTTTTAGCAATGCACTCTCTTGAGACAGTTAGGGAAGGAATAGTCTTAACTTAATAGAAATAGGCTTACTTAGCGCTCATCTACAGAATAATAGAAATCCTTATTATTGTTGTTAATAATCAATGCATACTACAACTATGTATGTGGTATGATTTGAACTGTGCGTTTTAAAATTATCAGATAATTAGTTTAGATACATTAATGAGTACACATAGTAATTTCCTTAATAAGTAAGTAAATATGAAATTTATGTCAAGAAGACTATACTTCCAGGTGCACAAAACACGTTACAATAAAGGGTTGGTCACTGCAATTTGAAATATGAAATAAAACAACTTTCAGCAAAATATTTTTAAGTCAATAAGTATTTAACATTTTTTTAAATTACAAATCAAAAAATATGCATCTCCTTGCGAGTTAGGGAATTTCTTGATAAACAAATGGTAACAAATTCTGATTGCAACAGTCACAAGATGATTCACATTTTCAAATGTAATTACTGGACCCCCCTACTTCTTCTCAGCGATAAAAATATCTCCCACTTAAAAAAAAAACTCTCTTGCACTACTTTTAAATGCTTTCATCACTTTATTTTATGGAGTAACATTAAAAAGCCACACAAAATGCGTAAAGTAATGACGCAAAGTGAACTGACAACCTATGTCTATGTCAATATTACCTGACATTAAATGTCACTTCTCATTTTATAAAATTAGCCGGCTGCCAAAAGAATCTTGTAGGACAATAATAATGAAAGAATTCAATCGTAGAATTAAATGACAGTAAATCAACAGGCGCGTTTAAATATAAGTTAAAGCTGTCATTTCTAAGCAAAGACTTATCCACATATGGAGGATCAGTGTCATATTTAATCTGTGGAAACATACTCGTCGTCATTCAATATAGTGGTACATACTTCTTTCGGCTGCCGGCAGTTTTATGAAATAAAAAATGACATTTAATGTCGTTTATCAGTTCACTTATCAGTTCACTTCGCGTCTTTACTATACGCATTTTTCGTGGTTTATTAATGTTTTTCCTTGAAAAAAGGTAATGAAAGTGTTTAAACCTAGTTTTTTTTAAAACTGGGACATTTTTTTTTCGCTGAGAACAAGTAGGGGTCCATTAATTACATTTGAAAATATGAATCATCTTGTGTCTGTTGTAACGAAAATGCATTACCATTTGTTACTTCAAGGAATTCCCTAACTTACTGTGTATTCAGAAATGTAACAAAAAACTGGCTATCTGATGTAGAACGCATTGATAAAAATTTGCTACGAGAGTTCTTTGACTATAGAGACTTCTCCACGAGAAAAGAAGTCAGAAATTATTTCCTAGTTACATCGTAAGGTACGAGTCCTTCTTTTAAATTTGCGTTTTTTTTTACAAAAAGAAAGAATGTCCCTTTAATATGGAAATATTACCTTGCTGGTAACCCTCCTGTCAATGTCAAAAAGGCTGCCACAATATCCTTGCAGTACTATACTCTTTGATGGTTTACATTCAGTAGTCAGTTCAATCAGCAATCATTCGATTTTAATATTCTTCAATTTCGATCGAAGGAGAACGCAGTTCGCTTCGCAGCTTTTAGTTTTGCAGTTTCTTACCTATTAGTGGTTCATGATTTATTTTCATCAGTGGTGGCGATCAACAGGCGTTTGCGGATATTATCATAAGAAAACCGAAGCTCAAGTGTTTGCAAGATGGAGGAAGATATGGTAGATCATAGTACAGTTCGCATTGTTATTAAAGACGAAGATTCAGTCCTTGAAAGGTCAGCCATTGCAAATATACAAGATCCGGGCTGGTCTGAAAAAATGATGCGCTGCATATATAACTTAACTTCGTACTTCCGGAAGCCGGATCTAAAATGTGAAGACGGTAAGTTATATGTTTGTTTTATATTTGTGTTCAATTGTATCGATTGGTTTTCCTAGGTCCCGTAGGATGCAACTCGCGGCGCATTCAAGGTCGTTGCGCGACGCAGGTTTACAAGGACGCAGCTTCATTGATTTTCTATTTATAGCCACATAATATCTCAATATGTTTTATTACATACTTACATATTATACATATTGGATGTTTAGGGTTTTGTTAATAAACATTGATTGTTTTTTAAATCCAATGTAAGGTTCCTTTATACCCAATTACTTTTTTCATAGGAACCACATATTTTTCAATAGTAAAAGTAGCCTATACATATCCAGACAAATAGCTAGTTCCTTTGTTGTTGGCTCACTTTTAATAGTGGTCCTGTTGATTGTATTAAAGCAAAAAAATGTTTGCAGAGGAAATTTGGGAGGTTCCTTATGAATCAATTACTGATCATGTATACATTGGGTCTGGAGCTCAAGGAGTGGTATACAGGGGCATATTGCGAGGAGAGATAGTGGCCGTCAAAAAACTTACAAGAAAGTCGGAGACAGATATAAAGCATTTAAGAAAATTAAACCATGAGAATATTGGTGTGTATTTGAAATTTATGAATAAATTGATAATGTAATCTAATGTTAAGGCTTTGAAAATTTTGCTTGTTATGTTGAAAGTGAGTAACATAACATAATTTCTTGCTATATTTGATTTTTATTGTCAGCTGTACATAAAATATTTAAGAATGTTTGTATTTGGACAGTCCGATTCCGTGGCGTGTGCAGCGAGCCACCATATTGCATTATAATGGAGTATTGCCAGTATGGTCGTCTATTTGAGTTTTTGCATAGTGGTGTTAGCTTCACTCCAAGCCAGATTCTCAAGTGGGGCAAGGAAATTGCTCATGGGATGAGCTATCTTCACAGCCACAAGATTATACACCGTGACTTAAAAAGTCCCAAGTTAGTATACCTTTTAGCCTCAAGATTGGTTTATTACTTTTATTGACCAGACAGTTATAAATTTATTATTTGGTTTTAGCCTTCTGATTGCAGATAATTTAGTGGTGAAAGTCAGTGATTTTGGCACAAGCCGAGAATGGAATGATGTTAGTGAGATAATGAGTTTCACTGGTACTGTGGCTTGGATGGCACCGGAAGTGATACGCCATGAGCCATGTTCTGAGCGGGTTGATGTGTGGTCATATGGTGTGGTGTTGTGGGAGTTGCTAACTCAGGAGATTCCTTACAAGAGTCTTGAGACTCATGCCGTGATGTGGGGAGTCGGCACGGATACTATTTCACTCCACATTCCATCCACTTGCCCGGATAGTCTCCAATTGTTGCTGAACCAGTGTTGGAATCGCGTACCGCGTAACAGGCAAGTGTCTCATAGCTTTATCAATCATATTATCCTAAGGTTAATGAAGTTGTTAATTTCTATTTTTGATACACAGGCCACCCTTCAAGATCATTTTAGCGCATTTGGATGTCGCTGGGGATGAACTGAATGCAATGTGTTTGGATCGCTTCAGCGAAATCCAAAATGGTTGGCGGCAGGAAGTGCATTACAGCATGGAGAAAATGTATTCTAGGTGAATATGTGTATAGTAAATTGAAATTAACTAACATATCTGATATAAATGTCAACAACATAAACTGTGTGATATTATAAATGTTTTTTACTTGTTTTTTCCAATAGACCTGAGCAGTCACAGGCACAGGATACGATCCAACGTCGCGAAGAAGAGAAGCGAGCTCGTCGAATGTACGAGAAACAATTGACGCGCGCTAATGAGCTTTACATGGAGGTTTGCTCCGTGCGCCTCCAGCTGGAACAACGGGAGAAGGATGTCGCTGAGTGAGTGCTCCCACTACAATCTGATAACTTAGACCATTATATGATCAGACAATTAAAGTGCACTCAAAATCACATTTTTTCATGAGTTTTAAAATGTTTTTTGTCAAACAGGCGCGAGAAAGCTTTGAAGAACTGCCATTGCAAGACACGCAAGTTTAAGCAGTACAATCGCCAGACATCTACGTCATCTGATGGAGTGAAGGTCCCATCACCTTGCAATCAGCCTAACAATGAGAATCTGCGCCGTCGTAAGAAGAAGCAGCCGGAGCAGAACCCTCACGCCCAGGTGCTGGTGAGCCTCGTCAACTCGGAGACTGTCACCACTGCTATCATCGATGACGACATCAACTGCGAGTGTGATAATGTCATCGACAACAACAACATGGAAACAATACTGCCAATGAAGGACTCCTTCATTGAAGCCAACGGCAATGAAATCAAAGATATCTCCTGCAACATTCATTTCAATAAACTCTCCTTACTGTAAATATTCACTTTCGAAGTCTTAATATTCCAATCAGGTCTATGTGGCATAGCATTTCTCAATTTTGCATGTCATGATAATTAACTATGTAAAACAGTATTAGTGTAGATGCATTTTCAAAGTAAATTACTCTCAATGGCATTTAATGTGTTGGTATCCCGTTTTGATTGTTTTTTTTTTAAAGAATTTTTGTGGATTTATACTTTCTTTAAGCAAGTGGTTACGCTGGCCTAAAACTATATCTGATTAATTCAGTATTATTTGTTGTTATATTCTTTTACTTTTATAGGTTTATATAATTTATTTTTGTTGGTAATATTCAGGTTGTTGATGAGAAGAATGTATGATGGATAAAAGAAATTTAATTCAAAAATGAGTGACATTTTCATGACACTTTTGTAGTTTTTGGGATCAATTTTATATTGCTATTAAAAAAAATAAAGGCATTACTGCCATGGTTATTTGATTCATTTTTTGTGTTAACTGGATCTTTTCTAATTATTGTAAAAAAAAATATTTTTTTACTGGTGGATTTGGGAGCAAAAATTGTTACACGAGGGATTAATAGATTTTTTTTTTAGTAAACTGGAGGACATGGTATTAGAGTACTTTGTTGTGACAATTTTTGTTTTGAGTATTGGATGTGTGGATTTGTAAGGTTTAAGTATTATTTCCAGTTTACAGACAACCGTAAAATATCTTTAGTGTTAATTTTTTACACAGTGTTTTATACATTTTTTACTTTTATTAAATTAAATTATGTCATTCCTAACTATTCTGTCTGAAATGCAAATTGATTATAAAATAGTTCATATAACGATAATATGTAGGTGTGTTTTAAATGTTAGTAATATATGAAAATATTAATTCTTGATGTTTATTGATAAGAAAAAAAAGCATTTTCCTGACTTAAAATCTGACTATTGTTATCTTTCCAAAGATATGCTTAAAACTGTATTCTGTAGCTTCTATGATGTACCGGCAGCATAGTTAGTAGCGGCAATGATGATACGACTTATCTTTATTTATAACTTTGTTGGTTCTTTCCCGTTGGACCGATGGACCATTGGCCTTTGTTCCGTAGGCCGATCGACTCAACGGGAAACACCTTTAGACTAAAAATAATAGACTGTATCTAGTCTGAACTTTTGATGAATCTTTACTGTTTATGATATTCTTCGTAGCAATTAAATGTATTTAAATGGAATATTTTTGATCTTAATGTTAAATTAGACGAAAGAAATAGTATAAGCACAGCATTGATGATATTCTATAAAGTATAACATTTAGTGTAGTTTTAGTTTAGTAGAAATAATATGACATGAATTTTAGACTTACATTACTCTCATAGAATAGACCCTTAGGTAAGTTTTAGCAATTGCAGTGATTTAATGATTTTGCTGTAGGAAAAATAACTCTATGGCTTTAGAGGCTTTTTATTGATTGTATCAAAATAATGTACATTCCAAAACCTTTACAATTTCCAAGCGCAGTGTTTTATTTAAGTGTCTATGCTCAATTTTCTCTCGTCACTTGAATATAATATCTAGTCTACCTATATTTTGTCTAGTCATAAATTAGTCTAATTTAAATATTTTCTGTAGTTCTAGGAAATGTAGATTCAATTTATGAAATAAAGAACTCATTCGTGAACATTTGTTTTATTTATTAAAATATCTCATTTCACCGCATATTTTAAGGACCCTGACTAAACGAACAAACTACGTTTTCACAAACAGCTTATACTATCAAATGAAATATAAACAATGAAATCTTTACTTCATGGTGTGTAATAAAAAATGATTTTCTGAAGGGTCATTCTTTTTGATAATCAAGATAATTTTTCAACAAAACTGCAACATTCTTACTCACAAATATAAAAGCGAAAGTTTAGACGGATGTTTCTTACAGTTGGAACCTAAACGGCTAAATGTATCTTGATAAAATTTGCCATAGATGCAGAGGATAGTCTGGGAGAACACATAGGTTACTTTTGATTTGGAAATTCTAGGTTCCCGAGGGATATGTGTAAATAAGCCCACAGCAGCCTGCCGCTCCTGCACGACTAACTCGCTCCACCGAGGCAATACCAGGAAGTGCAATGAGTGTAGATTGTATTTTTTCAAGAAAAATGTACGTATTTACACAAAATGTTACTGTAACTCTTTTTATACAATTGAATTAGTTTTTAATACATGTAATATGATATGATTAACGTGTTAAATACATTTTTTGTCGTTTCATTAACGAGACTAACAGATCAGCTGTTTAAGCAAAAGGAGTGTGATGATATTGGCAAAATATTTGCATCGTTTGAAATTCGGGCTGCGCATGCTACATTTTTTAGTATTATTTATAGAAAGTCTGCGGGCGGGAGTCGGCGCGCGCACTCGGTGTGGCGCGCGCGGGCCGAGAGCACTGGAGCCCCCATGGAGCCCCCCGCGTTCCCCGCCGGCGCCGGCAGCCTCCAGACCGTGAGGGCTGCGCCCGGTAGTGACGCCGACCTTGTACTCCCTCCGCCTTACGGCACACCACCTTTCCACTACGTATGGTATGTTGTATTTCTAGACAGAATTACCCTAAATCGTAAATTTTACTTACATATACAGCGAGTTTCATTTTATATGTATTTGAGTTTAGTTATGGGCAATTTTTTGAATCGTCACAGCTGACTAGATTTGTCCTGAACGATTTTGAGATGTATGACTAAGCTCATTAAGTGCACTGTGATTGACGTATACGCTGGAGGGATCGCGTCGCGCCGGTAAGCGTTGTTTATTTTTCACACGTCGAAGCGTATAAATACAGACCAGGAAGCAGGTCATCGCAGATATTCGATACTCAGTCGCTCATAGCTCACACAGTGTTATAATTTATGTTTTTAATGAAAAAATTACGGAATTAATAATATTAAGAAAAAGCATGAACCATAACTGCGAAACATCTTCCAACAATTTGTTTTAATACAACCGTTTGAGTTAGAATTGAATATTGTCTTGTATGTTTATTAAAGGAAAGGTAGGCTAATAACAAGTAGGGTATCTTGGTTTTATTGCATTTAACTAACTTTTTCGCAAATATACACCTGGAGTGGATGTACGAACTCTTTTATTTTGTGAACAAATAGATCATTTGTCAGTAGAATAAAATATCAAATAAAGGAAGTTTTAAAAGCTTGACTAACGACGGAACAGGAAACAGATATTCTCTGTCAACGTTTTGCGTGTACCTTCACTTTTTCTAAGTTGTTCTGAAAAGTTACTCTGAGTCACTGAGCTCATTTTTATTAATAATAAAACCATCGGCTCTGCCATTCAACGAGAGTATCATAGACTTAAATTCCTTACTTATGCAACAAAAATATTTTAATTTCATAGATCTTTAAGGTTGTGCGATTATATATCTTAATTTTAATTCAAGTGCATTTACAATTGCAACAATATCTAATGTACTAGAAAAACGACAAAATAGCATAATTTCCACATAGGTACACGAATTAGGTACTCCCTACCAAAAATATATTTGAGGTTATCAGGAACTTTGTGCGCAGCAGTTTGCCATCTGGTGGCATAATAGTAAACTAAAAACCAATGTTAAAATTATTGATCATCAAAATTTAACCACGCCATCTATCAATGGGTAGGTAAAACTTAGTATTACATCGTTTTTTGTTTTCTACATGTTAATCTACTAATAAAATTAGTTTCTTTTAGTTATTATTTTACATTTTCATTGAATTTTATAAACAAATGAGTGTCAGAATACTATGTACATCTTAAATCAAAGCCTTGTCAAAAGGGGTTGATTCAACGGAAAATAATTAATCACTTAGGGTCAAAGAATTGTTTTGTAATTTTATAACAATAAAATACGTTGTGATCATCCCGTTTAATACTCGGTAAACAAAGATATTATCATCTTAAAATTTATATACTATTTATCACCTTTTGTTGTATTGTCACCTATCTTCGAGATTTTCTAGCCTAGATAGTAACGAAGTAAACAATTTTAGTTTAATGTAAGGAATTCTCACATCTCATATTGTGGCGTCACACGATAAACAAATAGCGGCGCTGGCGTCGCATCTACAGAAATATCCAGCGGCCGACGGCGCGCGGCGCGCACAGTCCGCGTCCGCGCTTTGCCACTGCGAACTCGATTCGAAGCGAGATGCGCTCCCGCCATGGGCAGCAATTGTTGTAAAGGCGACGCAGCTGGGAGACCGATCAAGTCGAGCTCCTCCATCTACAGCAGGTATTTGTGGCTGGCCATCATCCTCGGCCAAGAGTTGCGCGGTGTGCCCTGGGTGCTACGCGCGCTGACACCCTGGCCGTACGTAGTGTATCATCAGTGCTCGCTGCTCGACTATACTGCAGCACTACTGCCCTCTGTCACCCTCTATATTAACGGTTTCCAATTGTTCATTAAAAATGTTCTCAACATACGTGAAATGTAATAAAAAATAATTTCATATCATCGAAAATAACACAAGCGCCGTTGTGTTTCTTGTAGTCCTTTCGTATTGATGTCGTGTTAATTGTTCTTGTTGCTTTATTGTTATTCATGTTTAAAATATAAATCACAAATCGTATTTCATGCTACTTAAGACATTTTTAAATAAAATTAAAATAAACATACATTGTAAAATAACATAACAAAATATATATTACTTCTCAATTTTAATTAAAATGCGTATTTATAGTAAAATATTTTTCCTGTGCGACTAATTACTGCGCATTAAGAACAGAATTGTTGGCAATGCGAACTTACTTTACAATATTGAATCGGTTATCGTTTCTTCCTTGGGAATTGGTTATTTGTTTATTTACGGAGTACATTTAAGAATTTTTTGTTTTAACAGTTTCCAACATAATAGATGTTTTGATCACAAAATGGTTTTCCTAAGAACAGTGGTTTCCTAGATACATATGTCCATCTTTAAATTCACCGCCGGCTCTTTGTTTATTTTTACATCTTTCGATACTGTAACAATCGATATTTTGTCTCGCATAATTCCCTCACTCTTAGTAAGCAAATAAATTACTTTTGTTAATTAGCAAAATCTATTTTTAATCGGCTAGTGTGGGGTTGAATATTCTAGAAAGAGGTAAATTGAGCGATACTACGAGTTGTAAAATTCTTAAAATCCGAATTCCGCATCGCTGTCTGATCCCTAATTCCCAATTCCGTCCTGAGATCATCTTCCATTAATGGAATTACCATAGCAATTACCATAAATAAAAAAGATCCCTACACACGACGTTACGATACTATAACCGGAAGTATAGACATTTAAAAACTCAATTCAGAATTATGGTTTCTGTACGAACTTAAATTAGTTTGTTGATATTTTGTGCGTTTTTATGGAATGAAGGCATTGTCGTGTGCAACGTTTAGGTCAAACTTTGACCACCAGATGGAACTCAGTTCTTTAGTGATTGCGGAAAAGTACCTTATTTCCTGCTGTAAAAAGACTTAATTTATATAATGTTAAGTATTCCGAACCATTCCTGGAAATAACTTAATTATGTGTGGATGATAAAAAGAATCGGAAGGAATCAGGCCCTTTCTCACTTCATGCAACTTTAAAATGTTCGGTATATAGGGTTGATTTCTTATTTGTAAACGATTACGCGATATTATGTTTAACTGAAACTTAACAAAACCGATTAATTATACAGTAATTTATACAAAAGTGAAATCAATATTGTTGCATTGACATTGAAGACTTTAAGAAGAAATGAAAGAGTTCTATTAGTAATACATTTTAGGAATCCCTGGGCAAAGGTTAGATTAAGTTATTATAAAGAAGAATTTTATACTAGTCTTATTAAGTAACACGTTATGATGGGATTTTTGACAAAACTACATTTGTCTAGTTAGTATCAGGCATTTGATAATGCAGCTGGCTCGTACACGACGTCCTACATGTAGAGAGCAATGTGTCAAAATACGTATCTATTAATATGCTTCGCAGTAAACATCTTGATTGTTTAAAAATAGGTTAGCGGATTAAAGCTGGCTAACTTTTTGTAGGTAAGAAGCCTCTGTGCGTCCTAGTGTCAAGAATTCTCATTGATATACTTAGGCTTCTCAGGTACTCTCATCGTCCATGGCTTAAACAACGTTGGATCGTTCGTAGATAATTAAAGTATAATGTTAAAAAACATTCACACATTAGTTTGTTTGTCATGAAATAAGGTTATCTATATTAATATTATAAACAGGAAAGAATTGTATTTATGGAAGTAATACTCAAAAACAATTGGGCCTATTTCAAAATTAAAAAGCTACGTTAGCAGTAACAGGCTGTGTTTTTTATTATTTTTAATTTCACGCGGACGAAGTCGCGAGCAACAGCTAATTTATTAATATTTGTAAATATATGTAAATACAAATCTTTCCTCTTCATAATGTTAATATTTATTATACCGGATTTTATTTTTTTCAATCAAACTGGATTATTGGACAACCCTATTTGTAAATGAACATGTTGTATTGTTTACGATTTACCCATAACATTAAACTGTCCACTGGTTGTTTAAAATTAGCTTAAAGTCGAAATGGCCAGTAAACTTCCATGTAGAAAATATAAAACAAAAAGAAAGCATGAAAATACGTCGTAAACTGAAATGAGAGCGTAACAACATCCCGAATGACGGTGCAAGGAAAACAACGTCGTCGCACGAAAGAAATTCCCGCGTTTGAAAGTCATAAAGTTTCGGGCTAAATAATTATGTTGTTTTAAGACCATTTAAGTGTTATACGTTAAACTGGAGACAATTATTTAAATAAAAATGTTATAACCAATTTTTTGCAACGGTTTAAAAAATATCCATTGGTATTTTCAACAGAATCGAAATAAAATTTTTTTAACAAATCTGAAATATTCATATACGAGTATTATGCATTTTTTAAGAATGAATATCTATCGATTCATTTATGTACCTTATTAGAATTTGAAAATCTCGAGAAAATTGCCATCGAATCTTTATTCGAGACAGGCGCGGACGCGTTGAATGGTTAAATCCTATTTATAGACAAGCTCCGGTTATTTTTAGTCTGATCGTAAATGGAGACAATTATAAAGACATATTTTTACTGTTAATTTGAATATGACTACTTGTTTTTTTATCTTACTATTATTTTTATCTGAATGTGTAATAGATTTAGTAATACGTTTAGTAAGTAGTAATTCTTGGATGCGGACGCCGGAGGCCCGTTTTTAATGGAAGCGAAGGCTTATGTTCAACAGAAGGCAGATCAATGCTGATGATGATGGTGAAGCCTCTCAACTTCAAATCAGTATCGTATTAAGCTCTAAATTTAATAACTTATTTTTGCATGGTGGATCGATTAAGTAACGATGTTTACCTTAAAATTGGTGTAGATTCCTTGTTGGAGGTTCTCTAGATACGTTTTCCACGAAAAATGCAAAATATCAAACATTCCGTGTGAAACTGGTAATAATATCATATGTCATAATAATCGAAGGAGGTTTGTTTGCATAAATCTCATGATGTTATGTCGAATTGTAAATATCCTTTATTTAGACTTTACCATTAGTTAGGTTATGCTTTTCACAGAGTTTCTGAGATACATTTTGCTGTAATTTTCCTGTATGCAATAAATTTGATCACCGCTTTCGTATTACCATATTTTCTTTAGAAAAATATAAAAGTTCATCAAAGTTGTTAAGGTGTAATAAGGCCATTGAATGTGACGTTTGTCTTTTCAAGTTCTACATGGATTATGGAGAAGCAGTTTGGTGCTCGTATAGACTGATATCACGCAATGTATCGATCATTACTATTTTATAGACGAATCGATATTTGAAAACGATCCATATCTTTTATACTAATACTAAGCTAGATGCCCACGGCCATGATGTTAAAGTAATAAATACTGTGAATACCTCAGCGATAGGAACGATATTGATATTGATGTAGAAACGTCGGAACTGGCTATAACAAATCAATTGCTCTATTTATAGTGTTTCAAACATCCGATATTTATTGTTCCACACAGAATAATTTAATTCATCAAATCTTAGTTATAACAATAGTTTGTTTAACGAATTTGTACAAAGTAATTAGGCTACGTATTTGGCCGCGGCATTGGCGTCTCGTAACTGTATTATTTTTAGATGAGAACTCGGGTGGACGCAGACGCTTTGTGAAAATATTGCAAACTTGGTGCGCAAGGTCACGGGTTCTCATTCAAGTTTTCTTTTTTTTTTGGATGGTATATTTTTTGTATAATGATTACTTATATAAATATGATTAGTCCGGCTCGCTATTGGCCATAATAACAGATTAGGTCTTGGTGGACTGACATCAGACATCGGTTTTAAGACCTATCCTTTCCTCCATATTATAGATTCACAGACATGTAAATGGGACTATCTATTCTGAACATAAATAGTCCTTTATAAGCCGTATCTCTTAAAAAATCAATGAGTAACATTTTAAATTGCTTAAAGAATATTAGTCCTTTAGTTATAGTCTAAATTACCCCGTTATGTTTGTACTAAGTTTAAAATACTGCGCAATTTTCCGCCCCCGCTTATTCTAGACCTTTCAGCTAAAGTAGGTTGCGCGCGCCGATGTCCGCGCCGATGATGGATACGACTTTACCCAGGGCTTTATTGATTACGAAGTATTTACTAGAATTATTTCTGATTATTACACTTAGTTCCATAAACTATCGAATTTAACTACCAAAATATCTCAAATAGACTGCTGATATTTCATACACACGTCTAAGGGAACATCATTTAAGTTATTTAAGTGCTAATTTCTGATTCGTTGTGCGCATGTCTTTAAAATCAATCAGTTCAGGTTATCTAGGATAGGTACGCTAACGTAGGAACTTCATGCGTCAAAGGATTATTGATCGCTTTCCATTTGATGCGCAATAATTGATATAGCAGACACCTCGAGCATGATCTTATTATTTTCATTTTAATAAAATTCAAAATACTGTTTATGTTTTATTTTTTTTTTTACAATTGTTATATGGCGACTATTAGTTTTGCCGGTTTCCGCTATAAAAGGCTCGATCTGTTAATGTTTTTTTTTTCGTTCAATGGATTCTTGATGTATCAGTTGTTTAAAAAAATATTTGCAGTTGTATTCACATCCTTTTTTCTCAACAAAAATTTTCAATTTCCTACTTACATATCAGATGTAGTATATTTACTTGTCTCGACAAGGCGAGGTTTCCAGTTCTAAATTTATTTATTTTTAAATTAGCTAAAATTTGTCGCTGGTTGTTTACAATATCTTAAATCCGTTGAATAGAAAACTTATATACTTAACTTAACAAAACGTACAATTGACCAAACGGACCCATTTCGTTTCTGGTTAGTATTTGATTCCATTGTTACACACGTGCGTGCGCCCGGGCCAGAAATAAATAAACCAGGCCTGACAACTGACATACAAACGGATGTTGTTCTGATTATGCACTTTGATGAATTTCTATTAAAGATATTTATAACTTTTTTTTGAACGTTAATGAATGAAATCTATCCTTTGTTAGTGACCAAGTCAGAAGGCAGGAGGGTACGTTTATATTTTTTTATTGTTATGTATGAAATTGTATGCTTATCCTCCTGTGGTTTAAATGCATGAACCGATTTTGGGGTTGTTAAGGTGTTATTCGATTTGAGTTTTTTCTTAGAAAGTCATACAGTCAGATGAATGAGAACAACTTATTGTCATTTAAAATCTTGCCGTTATAATAAAATATTTACAAGTTGAAGTATGTCAAGATGAAATGTTTAAAACCTTTTATGCAAGCCGATCAAATCTGCTGCATTATATTCTAATTATTTTATTATACTTTAGTAGTTTAAATTTTATACATCTTTTAATATAAGTAGGAGTCATGTTTTAGTTGGCATTGTTTATTGGACTTGTTCCATTTGATCTTTGATCTTGTCATCATTATTTCCATGTACCTATTTAAACAGGAATCAATTATAATTAATAATCTATTATATAGAAAACCTTCGTTTATCATAAAAATAACCCCTAAGTATGTTTGTTCTCCATTCTTTCCTTTGCTGATTTTAACTACACTTTGGTAGGAAGATTTAAGAGAGTCGCTAAAGATGTGCTCTTTAAAATAAACTAATGTAATATATAATTAAACCGTGTTTTTTTTGGGTAATTGAATTGGCGATATGTCTAAACGAAAACGCCAAACGCCTTCATTCATCACAAGTCTTACATCACGCGTATTTAGAGTAACTATAAAAGTTTGCGTAATCTTCCGTTTAATCTGCCTAAGACAAGACAAAGATAGAAATATAGGCCAACTGTACTGGGTACGCTTATTAATGCGTATTTCAAGAAAGAAAAACAGGATCTAACTATGTCTTTTAATTATTTTTTGTCTCCATACTCAAAGGGAGAACGCATAAGGATACAAAATAAAAAATAAAATAGTGGTTAAGAGTTGGATAAGAAATTAAAAAAAAAATTAGACGAAGGTCTTTAAAATTATTAACGTACGTTACGTAATTTGCCCAGTTTAATAAGAATGTTGCAAATAAAATTTAGGAATATTTACGAAATTAAATCGGCGTCTGTTATATTATTAAATTATATCTGAAATTAATATTTTCTCCGTTCTAATTCTGCTACGTGGTACACAGCTCACACGTGACAAGCATTTAATTTATACTGGAATTGTAACTCGTTGCCAAATGTATGGTATTGAATGAACGGAAAATATTTATGTATGTTATTTTGTATCGTAACAAAAGATAACTAAATGTTTTATCTTCTCAATAAAAATACTACTTTCTTTACAAAAAATGAGAGTTTATGTGTTTAAAGATTCGACGTAAACTCCCATATTCTAACTACAGAAGTAAGTATTCTAATGAGAGAAATGTACCAAATCTCTAGGAAAACACCGAGGTATCTTATTTGTAATTGTTTAGCTTAAGCACATGACATACGTCTTATACACGTATGTAATAGAAAATAGGTAGCCTAAGTCGTACCTGTCCTAACTCATTGTCTTTTGTCTTTAAACAGGAATATGTTCTTATTGTAATATTACACCTATAACTGGTAAAGCCATTGTTTTCTGAGGACTGTCGCATCTATGTGCGTTGAATTCGTCTTGTTTTATGTGATATTCCAGTCTTGAGATATATATATATTATTGTTATAAATGTTTTAATGTGACGCACGTAATCCTGATATTAAAACATTGTAAGATATAAAATAAAAATCATAACTATCTGTAATTTTAGTGCGAAATTCTCTCCTGCCACCATGAAACATCTGTCACATCATTTCTTTCTCAGCCTTTTCATCAGATTTCTTTCTATATAGTTACTTTCGCCTAAGTTTCGAAGATAAATAAAGTTTGTTGGTTTATTTACTTATCGTTAATGTACAGGAGCCGTGCGGGAGCGTCGTTAGACGATCGCTTCAAGGCGTCAGAGGACGCGGGCGGCGTTCGATTGACGGTCTCGGCTGCTCGTACTGGCGACAGTGGCATTTATACGCTGCAAGTGAGTTAAAACATTCTTAGTTTATGCATAACTGTATGCTAAATAAACAAGTCAACATCACGTCGATTGCTCAAAACGGCATTAATTAGTCCTTACCTTTCATTCTCGATTGTAACCACCAAATGATCTATCCACGGTTTGTGTTTCTTCACGTACTGTAGAAAATATTTGCTCTTTCGTGAGGTTTCTTGGTGAAGATAGTTCTCGACTTATCAAAGAATTTCAGCTTAATGTTTTTTTGTTTGTATTGTTTGACAAGCAATATGAGCATAAAAGAAGGAGAACTTTAGTTATGAGTGTGGTACACCGGTAGAGGTAGACATAGATAGAGATGGATGTCTGCGTCAAAAGTGACATGATGAGGTAAATAGATTAACCTAGAAAAAGAACTGGTGCGCCGACCCTACGGGAGTAGGATAAGGACAGGGAGATGTTTGTTATTTGTATAATTCGTGACGTAGGCCAGCAATGCTGCCGGTAAAGACACACGCCGCCTGCGACTTGAGGTGTCAGCAGAGGAGACACCGAGCGGCGACGACCCGCCGACCTTCCTGCGACGTCTACAAGACCTCACTGTCAAGGTCGGCACACGGACACGTTTCCTCGTCGAAATCGTCAGCTCCACTGAATGCAAGGTATAAAGTATGCAATTTCAAAATTTCACTTGCCTTAATATTCATGTCACATGATGTATGAGCCTTTAATCCTGCGTAGGATGATTTTGAAAAGTTATTTAAGGAATTAACAAACATTTGCTTGTTTGAAGATCTTTATGTTTATTAAAGTTTATACTCACTAATGTTAGCCCAATGACTAAATACTACGAATATTGAAAAACATCTATATAAACATCTTAATCTTGAATTATTTCTTAATGTCGTCTATTACGTAAAAGTCCGTGGTGTAGGTGCTAGAAATATCTATTGCGAGCTCAAAATAGAATTGCCTCTGACAAAATATTCCAATCAAACATAATATTGTTACACTGTTTACGTCTACTGCGGGTATCGATTATTTAATAACCTAAACCCAAGATTGACGAGGTACCATGAGATAAACCCAAACTGAAAAAATATGCGTAGTTTATACTAGGAATTGTACTAATAGTATCGTCGTATATCAAGATTTGAGATGGTAACAGATGTGATTTTTGTAATGATTAAGAATAGGAAACGAGCATCTAGTTGAGGTTATACGAGAGATTAAGAGGGCTAAGGTTAGTCAGGCGTTTCAGAATACAGCATGCTAACATATATGTTAAGCCAGAGGATTACTGAAAATAATTAAGTAGTTCCTTAAATTTCTAACAACTTCGTTAAACCTGCATAATAGAATAGTAGTGCAAATGGATAAGAGTACTCAAGCCCTTTTAAAGGCTTACTTCCAGCCATGCTTTTATTTTGGCAGTTTTGCGCTTAAAAATATTAAGATGTCTAATATGTAATACAGGAGTCAAATTATGTTTAAATGCTTAATATCTTGTAACAAAGCGTAAACACACACACTTCTTTGTTGCCTAAGATGGCCGCAATTACAGCATATTTTTAAATAATTCTTTTTTAATAAAATAAAACCCTACACTTACTTCATGCTTTAGGCTTCACGCTATTAAATATAGTTGATAAAGAGATTGGATTAAAATCCTAATGTGTGTAAGAGACCATAAGTTGCAGCCAACATCCGGGAAGCAAGGTTGACATGGATTGTCATCATGTCATGTCATTTTGATATTTGCAATTGAAAAATTGACAGATGTAAACGATAAAATGAAGTTTTTATAAATACCTGCGGATGAAGCCGCATGGGAACAGCTAGTAAAGAATAATAATGAGAAAGTCAGTTTACTGAATGTAGTGGGGACCTTGAATATCTTCGGAATGCGTACACCGCACCGTCAATGACATAATTTTTCTATTTTAAATTCACTCCAAGACGTATTTTTAATGTGTTTTGTATTTCACTATATTTATAAAAATTGTTTTTATAGTAAACATATGATAGGGAATAAGTTTTTTTACTGGACCTTTTTATTGGATATCATGTTATGAGGTACCAGACGACCAGGTTTAAATTTGTACTACCACTTTATTTATTTATATATTTTTTAACCTACCCTCAATACATATTTACACATACCGACACCGAATAGTAACAAAAATAACTTGCGAATGAGTTACAAGCGTGTCGCATTTTGTCGCCGAAGAGCTCCATTATAGACTTTAAATTTCCAGATATTTTAATCGAGAAGTTCGTACATTACACCAATTTGGTATCGACCGAGTTTGGGATGATATGTTTTATATAATTATGACCACTGAAAACCACTTACAGGTAACATGGTATCGGAACGAGAGGCGGCTGATGGAGGCGGAACGCGTGTCGTTGGTGCGCGATGGTAACTTCTGGTGTGCAGACGTGGCTACGGACGCGGGCCGCTGGACATGTACGGCAGAAAACATCGGAGGGAGAGCCAGTTGCTCTGCGCACCTTAATGTACTTGGTTAGTATTCACATGAAGCGAAGATGAGGATTATTCTCAACCGTCAACCCGCTTTGTTTCCACGTGGGAACAGATAAGAATAAATAGTTTCATCTGTCCCACCTTTTGCGGCGAGGGGACTGTTGGGACTTATTTGATTTCATAACGGTACCATCTGTCACTTTATTGGTGATAGTTTGACTAAAAGGTGGGACGGATGAAACTTTTTATTCTTACGTGGAGACAGAGCAGGATGACAATTGAGAGTAATCTGCATATGAATGGTTTTCCAATACATACTTCATCCGCGTCTCTTTAAATTACAATATACTTTGGTGATAAGGAAAAATATCTGTGAATTACCTACATTCAACAATATCGTCCAAAGGGAATGACACCTTAAATACCAACTTGATCCTTTTAACCTATTAATATAACTGATTTCAGTACCAAAGGCGTACAAGCGGCCAGAGTTCGTTGAGGAGCTCCGTGCGGTATTGACTGAACAAGGCACCGTGTCGCTGGAGTGCAAGGTCGTGGGGGTTCCTACGCCAGTCCTGCGCTGGTTCAAGGTGGATCTATAATCTTACATTTTTCTTTTCAATTTTATCGTTAATACTCTTTTACGTTGAAGGCCAACAATGCTAGGTATTTTCTTTCGTTTTGTAGATGCTCTCTGCCAAGCTAATGACTATTAATTGTGACACTTTATTGCTATTACTGTTTAATTACGATTTTCTCGAAGACCATGCCGACCGAAGAAATAACATATATTTATATCTTACAGGACAGTCGCGAGATAAAGGCCGGTGATGTGTTCGCACTCACAGCTAATGCAGAAGATCCAACTTCGCTTGGCACATACACTTGCGAAGCTGTGAACTGCATGGGTAGAGCTTATTCATCCTCAAAGGTACACGTCATCGGCCGTGGATCAAGAGATGGATCCCTTCGACCTGGTCAATCTGGGTAAGCTGGTTTTAAACAATTTTTTTCTGCTAAAACCCTTCAAAAACGTGTCGTTTTGCTTACTTAGTTAGCTGCGATATGTCTCTGTGCTTCTGCGCAGTTGCGTGCACTGCAAGAAAACCAAAGCACGGGTGTGCCTGTTCCCGTATGTCTTGAAGTCCCTCCAATACTTAAAGCGATTATACATTCGAATCCTACTTTAACGTGTTTTAAGTATAACATTATAATATGGCGTTATTTTGGATATTAACATTTATTATTTCGTCTTTTCCACAGGGGTGTATCCCCAGAGCCGCCTCTGATATTCACAAAAGAGCTGGAGGATCAGGCGGTGAAGATATGTGATCCTCTGACCTTGAGTTGCCACATCGTTGTCCCGCCCTGGCCCCGGAGTGTCGTCTGGTACAACAAGGAAGGAAAAATAGAACCAAATGAAAGGTATTCTATAGTAAAATTTTATTTTATCTGGTTAACGTCCATAAAGGACATGTCTTTTGACAAGATGAAATGACATATCTTCTTGTTGACTTGTAGGGAAGATTCAAGTATAATACGATTTTGCAACTTTACGGCAGGTACCACGTGACAGAGGACGGCGTGGGCGGTTACCTTTTAGAGGTGACCAGTGCAGAGTGGCAGGACGAAGGGGAGTGGAAGTGCGTCGCGACCAGCGCGGGCGGCCGCCTCGGTATCACCACTTGCTACGTCACTATGGATGGTAATCTACATTTGCAATTTAACTTTTGGGCAACAATAATATTTGCCCAATATTTATAAATACGTTTAATACTCTACGAATAGATGCTAGTGATACTTTTCATTACGTTTATTGTATTGGTAACTTACTTTTTTAAAATTTCTTTTGCAGTACCGAAAAATTTCCGCAAACCTCGGTTTATGGAAAACTTACAAGCAATACTCACTGAGGAAGGTCTGGTATCCTTCGAATGCAAAGTTGTTGGTTTTCCAACTCCAGTTTTAAGTTGGTTTAAAGATGGTCAAGAACTTAAGCCAGGCGATGTTTACCAACTAACTGGTACCAATTCCTTAGGTTCCTATTGTTGCATAGCCAGAAATTGTATGGGGCAAGCCAGTAGCTCTGCGGAACTCACAGTGGAGGATATACAAAATCAGTTAAATGAAGAAGAAAAGTTACAGTTGTTCTCAAAAAATCAGGCACCGAAATTTCTTCAAGGTTTAAAAAGTGTGGAAGCAAAAATCGATGAACCATTCCGTTTCACAGTTAAAGGTACTCCAACAAATAATAAATAGCTTTATTGATTTTATGATAATTTATTGGATTATGCTTATTTTTTAAATAGTAATATAATAAATTACAGTAGTTTTACTAGCATAATGCTTAAAGCATTTTCTAAAAAAGTTTCCCTTTTTTTACTAAGCACTTGGTACTTTTACATACCAATAACGTTTATCATTATCATATCATCATAACTAACCTTATTCATTTAACTAGTTGAGTGTATATCATAATTATCTGATCAAGGACTTATACAAATAACGAAGTTTTTCTTCTACATATTTACTGTTTTCGACAAATCACTAACAAAATATTTTTCCAAATTTCAGTTGCCATTCCGCCTGAGCCATCGGTCTTATGGTACCGAGATGATCAGCCCGTGGATGATTCACCGCGTTGTCATCTTGATAAAGAAGATAGAGGTGGATTCTTTCTTGATATAAGAAATCTAGAGTTTTTGGATCAAGCAGAATGGAAGTGTGTTGCTATCAATGACTTTGGCCATAGCGTTACCTCATGCTTTTTAAAGTTGATTATTCCGCGTCATTATAAAAAACCACGATTCCTAGAAAATTTACAAGCAATTTTGTCTGATGAGGGAGCAGTCAATCTAGAATGTAAAGTAATTGGCGTCCCCCAACCTGTATTAAAATGGTACAAAGATGGAGAAGAATTAAAACCTGGCGATATTCATAGGATAATATCCGGTCAAGATGGTACCTGTTGCTTAGGTACTTATACTTGTGAAGCACAAAACTGCATGGGCATTGCTGCCAGTTCGGCTTCACTCCTCGGTTTTGATGATTCGACGAAAATTAAAAGCAAAAAGAAAACAGAAGAACAGACATTGCAGAGAAATTTATCCCTCAGCACTATTCACGAAGAACGAACCTCACAAATGTATGATACACCAGTGGGGGACATAACTTTGGATGATAAAGGAGAAATATCCTTTTCTTTTGACGGAAAGGAAGTATCAGTTTCATTGTATGAAACGCCAGATTTGACGGAAGAGGAGGCATTGCAAATTGTTGAAATGTATGCGGATCAATTATCTGAAAATATCACAGAGCATAATATTGTTGAATTGCCTCCCTTAAGATTTGTGAAAGAAACATCTAATTCTGGTAATTTACTAATGGAAGCGATAATAATTGACGTCTCACCAGAATACTTTGCCTCACCAGAAGAAGATCTCAGGACAGAAGCGGATATTGAAGACATATCTATTGCCGATGAAAACTTACCTTCCCAACTTTCTTTGGATCAAGACCTTGAAGAAAAAATTGTATCCGCCTTGTCTGATGAAAAATACGAAGTTTCTCATCATTTAAATAGAAAAAAGTCTGATTCGCAAAAAAGCGCTGATGAGTATTTTAGTTTATCTCGCGAACATTCCTTATCTGAAGAAAAAAGAGATGACGATACAGAAGTGATATCCGAAAGTGATTTACTTAGTTATGCAAGTGCGCATAGCTCTGGAAAACCAAAATCAAAAATTGATAAAGTATTATCTAAAGATGTCAAAGACCCATCAGAAGGTAAAACGGTCCCTAAGATAAAATCAGAAAGAGACGATAGTTGCGGCTCTAGAAGATCTAGTACTGAAAGCGAAAAATCAATAACTAAACGTAGGGAAGATATCAAAGAAAAGCAGATAAGTCCTATGGAACAAGTAACATCGATAAATAAGTTAATTGAAAATGTTATTGACATAAGTACGTATCTAAATATTTTGGTAAAAGACGTAGAAGATCTTGAAAATGATATAATCCTAAAATCAGAATTTATGTCTTCTGTCGTTACAGCGTCAAAGAGTGTAGAAATTATGAATAGTGTGCTGTCTCCATTGTCTGAAATTAGTAAGATAATTGACAAACTTAAAGTGTGTCGAATAGGAACTAATGAGGATAATAGTGCACACTTTTATAATGTTTCGCAATATTTGAAATCTCTGCAGCAAGCGCTAACTATCATTGAAAAATGTATTGACGTTGAGAGCGAGAATAGAACTCTTGTAAAGAAAACGTGTGTGTTACTAATCGAAAAATGTAGCAGTCAATTCCAAGAACTTATGATGCTTATGAAGTTAATAAAAACAAATGGCCACGGCGTGGTAGATAACAAAGTATTGTTAGATATTGATTCAATATCTGACGAAATTATTAATATTGTTAATTTTACGGCAGGAACTATAAAGACAAATAATTTGCTAATTGAGGCTGATAAATTACAGGCCCTAGAATTATCTATTGAAGAAAAGCACTTAAGGGATACACAAAAAGGCATACAAGAACTGAAAAAAACGCTTATTTCATTGCTCAATATTGTACAAAATGCAGAAGTGGAAACATTAAAAGAAGTTGAGAATATAAATTATAGTTCAGTCATACTTGCTGATATGTCAGCATCGATTCAGGATTTGCAATTTGCGTTAGAACAAGTTGAGTTATTGTCAGTAAAAGAAAACTCTCTACCTTTGAACAATTATAACACAGAAATTATAAATGCTGTTTTGAAACCCGTACTTGAATTAAGAAATTCGTTTGAGTATCTTTCCGAAGAAAGTAAAGATATTCAAGATAAAACCAAGTTAAACCAAAAATTAACATGTGTTAAAAGTAATATAAATGAGATATTTTCACATTTAAATAATGTTGAAAAGAATGTAGGGTCTTATGATATTTTACAAAACGATAATAAACTAGAAACACTTCAAAAAATGGCACATATTTTAATATTATTAGAGAGTAATTTAACAACTTTAGACCATGTACCTTCGATGAGAGAAAATTTGCTTCATTTACATAAGAAACTAACAAAAATTTTAGAAAATGTGATCGAAAGTAATGAAGCAAAGAAGTATTATGATTTTGTAGAAATTTGTGAAGTCATAAAAAGAATAAACAATTGTATTGAAAATGTTGACTCCCATGCAAATCTAAATTTACCCAACATTAGTAATGCGTTTAACATTATCAAAGAATGTCTAGTCAGAAACGTTTTCGATACAGATTTAAATAAATCCGTAATTGCCAATATATCTGAACTACAAATTTGCATTCAAGAAATCATCAATCGAAAACAACATGAAACTCTTGACTATGAGTTTGAATGTCTACCACAGACATCCGAACGTGCATTTGATATAGGTAATGCAAAAGCTGTAATGGAGCACATTGATCGAACTCTAGCAACGATTGCTACAGTTACATCTTATCAATCAGTAGAAGAGAAAAATACGGTTGGCATACAACCGTTGGAAAATGTAATTCCCATTTTAGAAGAACTTAAAAATGTTGTAGCTTCTTTGAGCTTAAGCGGGATAGATTGCGAAGAACATGTGTCTGAAATTACAGATATACCATCTCAATCAGTGGAACTTTTAGCTAAACCCCTCTTTGAGATGAACCGACATGTATCAGTTCTTAATGAAATCTTATTGGAAGACCCCGAAAGCATAAAAAGATACCATCAACCAATTTCAATATTCGCTCAAGCTTTAAACGAATTATGTGAGACTTTAGAAATCGTGCAGCATGACATTATTTCACAACTTGCAGAATATCATACTAGTTCGTTTTCTTTTACTTTTGCTGACACTCTTCAAAGTCTACACAGTGCCATCTTGATAGTAAATAATAATATAGAGTTAGAAGTTCTTGATGAAGTATCAACTTTAGAAGATATATCAGGTTTAAAGACTACCGCAGATACAGTACATACTGATCACTTGGAAATTCCAATTATTGAACATAAGGAAATACAAGACTTTTTAGAGCCAATTACAGGATTACCTCAAAAGTCTTCCCTGATCCACATTTTGCATGTATTAAATAAACATATTACAATACTCCAAAATCCACAGATTGTGGAGATTTTAGAAAAATTAACTAAGAGAGAAATCCCTGCCAGTTTATCAGCTGCTACAGAATTGTCTACCTTACAATTAAGAATTCAAGAAATTTTACATACAATGATTCAAAGTTCTGAAAATGTTTTTGCTAGAGCAACTTTTTATGAAGTAAATTCACTATCTGAATCGATGCTTGCATTACAACAGAGATTATCTCAAATAACTACTGAAAACATTCCAATTATTGAAGGTATTGTAGATATTTCATCGGACTTAATACATTCCGTTATCCTAGCCGTTGCAGAATTCAAAGAGCACCTTGATAAGTGTATAGACGTTATATTTCCAGCATTGGAAGTTGTAAATAAAACTGTTAATGTATCAAATAAAATTGGAACTTTAAAAGAAACGTGTGAATTTTTGAGTGATTTAATAGCTAATGATAGCGCATCAAATACAACTTTTAACGAGAAATTAAAACTCTTAAATCTTCCAACAAAAAAATTATTAGACGCACTTGATGTTTCCAAGGAGATTGACGTAAAAAATATAAAGCACCTTACTGAAGAACTTCATAAAGAAAGTTCACATATCGAAGAAGAAATTATATCTATTGCGCCATTGCCCATAGAACACATGGAAGAAGAAGAAGCTCATTTGCTAAAAGCTTTGGATAATATCGAATCATCTATTTCTATTTTAGATCAATATGAATGTGTAAGTTTATCTGACACTTTCAGTTTACATTATTGTTCTCCACAACAAGTTAAGGAAATAGAACCACATCTTCTGTGTCAATTAGATGATATTTTGATTACTATTTTTGATGTAATTCACGACTGTAAAATTGATTTTGAAATTCAACAAAATATTAAAAGTTTTATAGCTATGTGCGAACATAAATGTATTATCCTACGTTCTTTAATAAAACATAAATTAACATATAAACGTATTATTAGATTGTACCAAGAATATATTTATATGTATAATTCAGTTAATTTATTTAAAGATAATATATTATTACTAAACGTGCCCAGTAACGTAGAACAATTTTTGATAGAGTTTCTTGAAAACATAAATAACTTCTTAGATGACTTACGGATATGTGCTATAAATGTATTAGAAAACAACATGGAATTAATATTTACAAGTCCGATGACGTCTCTGACATCCAATTGCGAAACACTTGCTGAAGACAACATAACTGCTGGTTCATCTGATTTAACAAATGTAATACAAGCGTTTTTTAAAGCTAAAGAAGTTATTTTGCCGTCTTTGAATAATCTAGACGTTCTCGTTATAAAAGATCTGAATTTAAAAGTATCAAAGAATGAAATAAGTAGAATGGAAGAAAATGTTACAAATGCGTGGAATAATTTTGAGGTGATATTCAAAAAATACGTTTCAATAAATCTATCAAAGGCCAAGCAAAAGCATCAAATCGATAAGGCGAATCAATGTATTCAAAATTATAGCGATTGTAAAATTTCAAATGGAAGAGCAAAACAATTGATTCTATTGCAAAGTATGGCTGATTGTTCAGAAATTCTAAAGGAAATTGTTTTGGAAAATCGAGAATTACTGAAAAATAAGTTACAGAAACTAGAATATTTGGAGGTTTCGTTGTCAGAAATGTACACAGAACTCCTTGATCTTTGTGAGAAACTAAAAGAAGCAAACTATACCGATGCATCTTTAGATTCGTACATTCTTAATGTTAATGAGAAATTCTGTAAATTTATCGCAGAGCATCACCAGGCACAATGGCTAATAATAACAAGCGGAGCTAAATCTTTAATTTTAAAAGTATGTAACGAGATAAATAGAGTTAAAAAACACTTAAATTATTCCGACGCCCAAACAGACCCGACAACTATAACTATCAATACTTTTGTGAATACCATAAATGAAATTGAAAAACTATGCATTGTAACACTATATTTACAAGAAACAGAAAACATACAAACTCTACAAATTGGTAAGTTTATTCAAAACATTTTTTTAATGAATAGGATAATCGAATAAAGCGACAAAGCTTTAGATTACTTCTTGATCAATCACGATTAATAAGATGTGATGTTTTCATTTTGTAGGTAAAATGATGGATCACATCGACGAGTTTGTGTCTAAAGATACCATTGAAGTGATCAAGAAAATAGCGATTTCGTCAAATGAAATTGATGCCGACAAAACAGTGAAGTTAGCCACAGAGCTTAAGGAAAACATTTCGGCTATTATGTTATCGCCAGAAGTCCAGTTATCCAAAGAAACTTTCCAGGAAAATCTAACCGAAACAAATGTTTCTCTGGCATTAGAACTTCAGCAAGCTCTTTCGGTCGTAGTTACGGAGATTTACGAAAAAGCTGATGAACTCTCGTCACAATTTGATGGTATTAATATTCAACAAGTAAAGAGTAATTTAACTAACTTGTCTTCTGATCTGAATGTGCTCGTGACGTCACCCCAAGTTGTTGAAAAGAAAGATCATGTAAATCAAGCAGTGATTGATAGTGAAAATGCAATTAATATAGAAAGCATCACAGAAGACTTAACACTAAAAGAGAATGTGGAAGAGGTTTTGGATGGTTTTAGACTGGAACAGATAAAAGATGAAACTGATTTTGGTACGTAGAATTTCGTGTTTAACTTTTTTATTTTGGCCATGTGGTTTCTATCATTTTTATTAAATTGTTCTTTTTTTGTTGAATAGCAAATGGTAGATCGATAGAAAATTTAATTTATCCAACATAGTTACATAAGTTTAAACATACTTTAATCTCTTAAAAAACTGTTTCAGATGATGGCGAAACCAAAAATACATTGCACAATCTCAAGTCATTGCTTAGAGAAGTATATGATAATATCAGTATGTTAGCGAATTCTAGAACAGGTGATGATATAGAAACTTTGCAAAATACACTAGATGAAATTCAAGCTGTTATTATTGAATTGAAAAGGGACTACAATGAGTCCGTAAATGAAACTCTTAATGAAAGTCTTCAAGACTTAGAGTGTAGTGTAAGAAGTGTTCAACTACAGATTAATGAAGAGAGTCCTCCCGAACTTGTAAAAGAAGCTTGTGAAACTTTGCAGCTACTAGTATCTAATATGTGCGAAACGCATGAATTCCAAGTAGTACAAACCACAGGCCATAAGGAAAAACTAGGCAACATTATAAGTTCATGTTCCAATGACACTGAAGAGACGATCCATCTTTTAGAATCCGCGTTGAATATGAAATCAAACAATGAAATTCAATTCGATAGACTGTATACATATATTAATGAATTAAAGCTGGTTATCAAATCACTAAAAAGTAGTTTTGCGGATAATAGTGAAGATTTAATTGAAAAAGGCATTGAAATCATGCATAACTTAGACGACACAGAGGAACGGGTCTTCGCTTTAGAGAAAGAAATAGACTTGTATAAAAACTTAACTCCCATACAAAGAGACAGCATAGTAACTGCGATACATTCTGTTTATGGATCCATTTCAAATATGAGAAGTGCCATGTCGAGTGTACAAAAACATTACATGTGCGAAAATTACGGAAAATCTTCCGAAAAAATATTGACTGCGTTGAAATGTATTGCTTTTATTGCAAATAAAACTGATAAAAATTGGAAGACTTTAAGTAAATCATTGCGTAAAGTTTTAAATCATTTCGAGGATATAAAATTTTATATAAACCTTGACAAAACTGCGAGAATTCCCGGTGATGCTTCATTTACCAAAATAATATTACTGGATCTTAAAACTACCATTGAATCATTGATACTTGAACATGTTAACGTTTTTAGTGAAGACGTTCTACTTAATACTAAAAATATAGTCGACTGCCTCGAATTTAATCTTCTTAAAATGGAAAGTAAATCAAGTTTACAAGTGAAAGAGAAAATACCAATTTTTAAAAGTATTGGTCAAAAAATATGTGTGCTTGCATCATCTATAAAGGAACATTTAGAGTTATTAGAAAAAAGGGAAGAAACCGGCGATATTGAAATATTGCAGCCTGAGGATTCATCTATAATAGAAAAAAGTGAATTACCTAAAGAATCTACGTTGATTAAAGGCCCAATTAATGAAGAACAAATAACAAATATAGTGAAAGATGTATTAAAGGTTACAAGCGAAAAAATACCTTTCACAGAAAAAGATAACCACGTAAATTTCGATATTTCCAACATTGATAAAGATTCAATTGAAGATTCTTTAGGCAGTATTAAAAACGAAAACGTGCAATCCGGAAGGTTCAGTACAACAGGTGATATCGACATAATAGGAAAACCCGAAAATATTGGATTTAAAATAAATACTCATGCACCCGACTTTGTTTTGGAAATTCTGTCGGAAACTATTATGACCGAAAATATAACAGAAGCATCTTTGTTAATCCTAGAAGAATGTAAGCATTTAGAAGCGCCCTTACTGCAAATTACGGAAACTGGTATGTTGTATAAGGCCCACGTCAGTGAAGCAGTAATTGAACACATGAAGGATTCAGATTTCGGAAAAGATCATGCTTTTAGTCCACATTCACAAGAGGCGAAACAAATTGAAGATGAAAAACCTCTTGTAAATCAAATACCAGAAGTCACGCATGAGTCTAAAGAAACTGATGACTACACTTTAATGGGTTATACAAATGATACGAACGAAAGGCTTAAAATAGATGTAACGCAGGATGAATTTAAATGTAACGATGTAATAAGGCAACAAGAAACAATTGACAAGACTTCAATAGCAACTGATCAACAGCCTCAAATGCAAAAACAAAAAGAACACGGTATGGTTGCAGAAAAAATAGCTGATGATATTTCAGGAAGTACTGATGACTTGGAGAATGTATCTAAGAACGATAAAACAATTGTAGATGAAAAGCATGTAAATATTAAAGAAAATATTGAAAACAACGTTATAAAAGTCGATAAGTTCGATGTAATTATTGATGGTGAGGTGGTTGACGATAAAGCTATAATAAACAAAAGTGACGAAATAAACGTTAAATTTAAAATTATCCATGATCAAGATTCTCTTCAACAAATAAACAATCTCAGCAATCGCAAGGAAAATGAACTCAATGCGAGTAAGGACTATGAAATTACACCTGATAAAGACATTGTCAACGTAAAAATTTCGGAAAAGGAACGAGACAAGGGAACTTTGTTACTAGAAGTGCAAAAATGTACTATTGAGTTCAAAACTGAGGACAATACACATGAAGATAAAATCGTAGAAACAGTAGAAGATTCAAATTCCCAAACACTATTGCTTGAGAGTCCAGAATTTAATACAAATGTTCAAAAAATTCCAGAGGCGCAAAATGTTTACCATGAACATAGTATTAAAATAAATATGGAACCTAAAATAGAAGAAGGCAAGGTCAAGGAGACAATAATTGATAAAAAAGAAGAGTTACAATCTCCACATTTATTAGATAAAGTAGTTGAGAATAAGTCTTCTGAAATTTCCGACGAGTTCCTTGCTTTACAAAACAAAACTTTAAAACAGAGTACTACTAACAATGAGCATTTAAAAGGCACTTGCCATAATCAAAATAAAAATACAGAAACACAAATAGATACTTCACAAGATCAAAAAACCGAAACAGAAGAAAACACTAATATGATCAGTTATAAAAATGAAAACAAAACAGAGATGGAAAGGAAAGGGAAATCAAATGTTAGCGGAATTCAAAATCAAAATGTTGATACTGACACGGAAAGAAAATGTTCAGATGAAACAAACACAACAAATGAAAATCCACCAGACAAAGAAAAACCTAAACGAAAGAAAAAAGAGGTCAGAAATAAAAAACAAGTCCCAACTTCACCAATTACTGATAACATACCTGAACAATCTAAAGATATTGATGTCAAAGAGAATCATGGTTTCCAAAGAATAGATACTTTAAAGACCGAAGAAAAACTAATAGATAAATCTATGGATGTCAAAGAGAAACTGAGTGAAACTCAAAGAAGCAAGGTAAGTGAATCTAGTGATAAGATAATTTTAGATCAGATGTTAGTGCAAGGGGGACTAAGCAAGGAAAAATTAAAAGAAGACAATATGGATAACGAAAACATAGACGTAGAAACAGATTTATCTCTAGAAAATGTTTCTAATTATCGAAGGGACGACACCCAAAATCCAGAAACACTGAAAATCAAAAATCCATATGTTGAGAAAACAATATTAGCAACTGGGTCAGAATATATAACAAACAAAAAATGTATCGAAGATAATTATAACGTTGAAAATTCTAATGAAAACAGACTAAAAATCTCCAGAGAATATAATTTACAACTCGACAGAAGTAGTGGTCGAGAATTTGATGAACATGGTAGAATTAATTCAAAAGAACAAGAATATCTCACTTCGCCCCAAATAAATATGAGTCAAATTAAGCAAGTCGATATATTAAGTTATGAAAATAATGACGCAACTGTAAATGTAGATAATTCTCGTAAAAGTACGCACACCTCACCGAAAAATAATGCTGTATTTATTGATAAAACCGGAAATAGTTATGACAACGAGTTTTTAAAGCCACCAGGATATGTTGAGAGAACTTTTAACTATGACCATTCTACATCCGATTTGGATATAGCTCAAAACTGTCCATTTTACAAAGCTCAAACTTTAGTGCGTAATACCCAATATACATCGCCATTAACTGACAAAATTCAAAGTGACGAGTCGGTAGAGAGAAAAGATGTCTCCCATAAATTAAAAGCTTTAAATGAAACGAGGAATTTTATCACAGAGAAACGCTCCAAACTACTACGTGATGTTAAAAGGAAGCCAGTTTTTTCCACCTTTCTTACTGATAGAACAGCTGTAGAAGGGTCCAGAGTAAAACTCACGTGTAGTGTTTTAACAACATTAGAACCAAAAATTGAATGGTTTAAAAACGGTATTCTACTCGATAATAAACTAAAATACAGAACAAAATCAGTTGAAGGCCTGTTAACGATGGAAGTCCTCAATGCTGAACCGAGCGATTCCGCCGAATATAGTTGCACCGTTGGAACGGAAAACGGATCAGTAACTACTTCCGCAATTTTAAAGGTATACCCCACTTTTGAAGTTTCACCCATACCTCCGACTTTTACAAGATCGATAAGAGGTAAGTTATTTAATTACTATTTATTAGTAAAAAAATAAATAAATAATGTTACGATTTTTCTTTTAACTAGATAAGTACCATCTAGCCGAAAACGAATTGGTGCTAGAATGCCGTATTCGAGGACAACCACTTCCGACTATTACTTGGCTAAAAGATGATAGATTAATAAATATCACTGATAGATATCAAGCATATTACTTAGCTGACGGAGTTTGTAGATTGACTATTAGTAATCCTTCATCAGAAGATAGTGGTAAATATACATGTAAAGCAGAAAATTCCATGTGGTCAGATCAAATAAGTCACATAGTTACATTCACAGGTATTTTATTTTTATTTATTTCATTATTTACAATTCAAGGACCGTAAACTGATACATTTATTTTTCTTCAGGTATAGAATCTCGCTACGGCCTTCGTTCTACATCTGGAGAATCATCTCGATTAAACCGTCAATTATCTGAAGCTCGTCGACCACATTTCACAAATGTGTTAACTGACTATAAAGTTACTAGTGGAGGCACAATTGGTCTGCAAGTGGAAATAAAAGGCTCTCCAACAAGAGTAGAATGGCTGCGTGAAGGTCATGCAATTACTGATAGTTATAGAAATGCTCAAACTTTTGTAGACCATGGATTATATACCTTAGCACTATCAGATGTTACTGAAAAAGAATCCGGTATATACACATGTAGAGCTTGGAGCAATCATGGAAATGTTGATATGAATGCAGCAATAACTGTAGTCAAACCAAATGAGATCGATGGCAAGCCGGCAGTTATAATTGGTCGACCTCAGAAGGATGTACTTATTTCAGTTGGTGAAGATTTAAATATATCATTCAGAGTACAAGGAGAACCAAAACCTAAAGGTAAATGTTTTGCCAGATTTATGATTTGTTGATTGATTCTACTTCAGTTAACAGAAAGTTTCAATTTTTCATTATGTTTTTTCTACTATACAGTGACTCTAATGAAGGGTATTCGAGATATAACAAATAGCCCACGAGTATGCAAAATGAAATCAGATGACTATATTAAGTTTACATTAAAGAGGTCAGTTGTATCTGATGCAGGAACATATTGCATTCTTGCAAGAAATGCTTACGGATGTGATAGAGCTTTTGTTACAGTTGTGGTGTGTATTTTATTTACTACCTTGAAAGTAATTATAAATATTTGATTTGAGAGTGTAATTTAAAATGAGATTATTGTTGTTTAAAGGTGCGACAACGCGCTTCATCTGATCATTTAATATCTGACTGGACTTATCCTGCGGACTCAACAATTACTGTAGATGAACGAAGGTACAAATGTAAGTTGGATTTCTATAGTTTAATTCGAATTTTGTTAGTTAACCAGTGAGTACTTACTATGAAGTCCACAGGGCTTTATCAGTATTATTTAATTACTCGTTTCTTCATGAAACTAACTGATTAATAGCAAAGCCATATAATTACATGGTAAATATAGGTACCTAGCAATAATATAACTTAAAAATATTAGGTGCTCGACTCCGAACATAAAATGTATATTTGCAGTTAATAATGTGAATATTGCTTCTTCTATTATACCTATTAATTTACTTAGCAAGATTTGCATTTTAAAGAAACTCACTTATAACTTATTCATTTTTAACAATTACAATAATGGACAACTTGAAGATATTACTTTTAAACATTGGCAGTATTCAAACTATCATATGATTTCCTAATATCTTTGTTATATCAACCGCAGTCTAAAATTAAGGCTCAAAGTATCATTTGGCAACGTATCAATTTGTATTAAGGCCATTACCGTGTCGATAATTAGATTTGTTTGCAGCTGTACCAAATCGTATCCCGGGAGAACCGACTGTAGTGGACGGTGGAAATAACTGGATCTCATTAGCGTGGCCGAAGGTAGATCCTGAAGGGGGTGCCCCAGTGTTGGCATATAAAATTGAGAGTTGGTTACTGGGTACAGAGGGAGGAGCGCGCTGGATAGAACTTGGTATTACCCCGCTATGCACCTTTGAAGCTTATAATCTAAAGCAAGGAGAAGAATACCATTTCAGAGTGACTCCAAGAAACAGATACGGTTGGGGAGAGTCGGTGCAAACATCGACTTCATTCGGCGTTGGCTTGACCGGTGATAGGCCGGAATTCGTTGAAGTGCTACCCGGTCAGTTGAAAGTTCTAGTTGGGGAGACTGCTACATTGAAATGCAGTTTTAAAGGCAAACCTACACCAGAAATCGTTTGGATGAAGAATGGACATGAAATTGACGAAGAGGACCAAAGATTAAAAACATGTTTAAGCAATTACAACTGTTCTCTGACCATCAACGATGTTCAATTAAATGATGAAGCCCGTTATAGCTGCGAAGCCACAAACGTCCACGGCAGAGCATCGACGTATTCAAGAATAGCGGTCGTCACCGACAAGAGTATTTGGGAGGCGGATACAAAGCTTAAGAGGTGATTATTACATTTTATTTGATGTATGTGTGCCTACTATTAAACAGCTATAAACAAATATGTAATTCTTGGTGTCCAGTGGTTAAACACGTATACCGTGCTTGTAGTAGTTAGAAGCTTTCACTCTGTTCGCTTTTTATCTACTCTTGTAATTAAAGTTAATAACGTTTTGAGTTGTATTTATAATAATAATGATTATTTTAGAGAAAGATCATCAGATGGCGGAGAGTGTCCGCCGCAGTTCACAATGCGACTGCGTGACAGGCGCGTGCAGGCCACGTACCCTGTCCGCCTGACATGCCAGGTTATTGGTAGACCACCGCCCCTTCTTACTTGGTACAAGAATGGCGAAGAAATCGTCAATGACAGTAAGTTGTATATTTCATATCCAATATCAATTTTACAGATACTACGCTAAGCACTTTATTCACCTTCCACTACTTTTTTATTATGTGTTTCTTTACATTCATTGCCTTTAATTAGGCAAGCGTTCTCTTATCATGGTGTAATAACTCTTAAAACTATTAACTATTTTAGATCGTCATACGAAGTCGCAGGACGAACATTTTCACACTTTGGAAATTGCGCCCACGACGCTGGAAGACGGCGGCGTATATGAGGCGACGGCGCGGAACGGCAACGGTGCAATCAGTTGTCGCTGCAACCTGGTCGTCGATAAGGGCATCAGAGCTTACATAGCACCGGAATTTTGCTGCGGACTGGAGCCGTTGTATCAGCTGAGCATTGGTAAATTATAGCAACAAATTTTCTCTTTGAAGCTGTAGTTTGCGAGGAACATGTTTGTGATAAAATTAAGCTCGCTACAGACGCTCGGTTTTAGTTGTACGTTTGTAAGCAAAACTTTAACTGATATTTAAAGTTTTGTCCAAACGCGCATATTTTTAAATAACACTTCGACTGTACAAACTCAAAGTCTTTAGCGAGCTTTACGTACATATACAAACATCAAAGTTTATGATCTAACATAGTAGACTTAAAAGACGTGTTATGACTGTGCAGCTGTTTAGTTTCCGTTGCTAACATTGCCGACAATATAACTATAACTAACTACAAGTATAAAAGACTAAATAGAGATCCCGACGTTTTAACTTATTAAAGCAAATTATTTGTTTAAGGTCAAGAGTTAAGAATATCAGCGGTGGTTGAGGCATATCCATCTGTGGGAGTGACGTGGTACAGAGACGGAGTGCGGCTGCGGCCCTGTCGACGAGCGGTGATGACATTAGACAGGGACGGACAGATAGAACTAGCAGTGGGCTCAGTAACACAACGGGACGCCGGTGTCTATACATGCACTGCGTCGAATGAAGTGGGCAAAGCATCTACATCAGGAAAGGTTGAAGTGTTTGGTGAAAGTGATGGAGAGAGGAAACCAACCATCCCAACCGTTATTTGCTCAGACGTACCGTAAGTATGCATTAATAAACCCCACCAACAAGACTGGCAAGATTAAAAAATCTATTTTATTTTATGTATAAAACATATAATAAAATTGCAGTGTCTGTTTGTTCGGGAAGATGATGTATTTGCGTTGCTGATAATGAAAATCGGATTTAATATTTTTTGTCTGTCTGTCTGTCTGTCGGTCCGCAAGCCGCGTTTGTTCCGAGCAATCCCTAAACCGGCTGGGCCGATTTCGACCGGACTTTAACTGAAGGGTAGCTGACATAGACGGGCATATTATATGCTATTTTTTATCTTAATATTGCGTGGACGAAGTCGCGGGCAACAGCTAGTTCTAAAGAAAGCTATAACTTAAAGAGAACTAACTTAGACAGATCCGCTCCTGTAGAAAACTTAGAATTGTTGAATTAAAATATTGCAGATATTCAAGAGAACCAACTTTTATAAGAAAACCAAGATCAAGTGAAGCTTACGAAGGAGATACTATTATTATAGAGTGTGAGGTAACAGGCGACCCAAAACCAGACGTTTTTTGGCTGAGGGACTTTTTGAAGGTAAATAACTACATAAACATGAACCTTTTTACTTTTAGTGTACTTCCTATTAGGTTGTAAGTAATCAACAATTTAAAACCATGAAGATACGTAATAAATAAGAAAAAGTGTAGTAAATGTAGCTACTTAATTTAAAAAAAGTCTTATATAATCACATTAATACTGTAATTTTTTATATGAATGTCCTACAATATTTTCTCCTGCAAATATTTTCAATACGAACAATTCCTGAGACAACCATGTCTACTCGACAGTAGACATTTGTACACATCCATTATTATAGAAATTATCGTCATTAATTTTAGTACTTGTGATTTCCAGCCCGACTACTACCGGGACGGATCTCACTTCAAGCGCGTTGGCGCTGGCCCTGAATACCGCTTCGAGATCCCGCACGCAAAGCTAGACTATACGGGCGCTTATTCAGTCGTCGCTAGAAACGTTTATGGCGAGGCGAAAGCAGTTATATCGCTACAAATTTTGGCTAAAGGTATCTTATACTGAAATAATTTAACAGTGGTAAAGCCTGCTTGAGTATCTTCGCACGAATGGGTCGGCTCACCCGGTGCAATACCACGACCACACAGACGACAGACGTGAAATGGGAGCTATTCCGCGTACAGTCTGATGAGTGTGGTGCCGATGACCCAACCTTAGTCCTTTTTCTTTCCGGCCTTGAACGTGGGATGCCCGGAACGTGGTTTTGACGCTGGAGGAGACGCATAGGAAGAGGATATATCCTCCATCGTCGATTAAGGGTAGGCAACGCATCCGCTATTGCGAATGTACATAGGCAGCGGTCACTTCGCCAATTTTGGCGGATTCAGGTGATTGCTTGCTTATTTGCCACCTTATGACATGAAAAAAATTACCTATCACAAATCAATTAAATGTATGTTTTGTTTTTATTTTTTTCTTGTTCTTTCAGATCCGCTTTCAACTGAGGAGGCGCACAATGTTCGTTACGGGTAAGCCATTGTTTTCAAACATACGTGCAGACGCGGAAATTCGCGGTATATATAACATCAAGACATAGTTCACTTATTCTTACAAATACCCAATTAAGTAACAGAGACTTGCACTCACAATGGGATAATAATAAAAAGCAATTAACCGCATACGACTAAACTGACTGTAAAATTAAGTGGAACATCGCTTGATTCCCTCACCGTACATATTTTAGTGTTTTCAATTCCTTTTTTTCGACATAAAAATTGAAAAGTACCCAGATTGCACTAGATGAAATTTGTTGCAATTATTTCTTATTAAATTTTTAGCCGAGTAGAAGTGATTCCACGTTTTGAGAAGGAGCTGACTGATTTGTTGTCACATGACGGGGATGCAGTTGAGTTCGAGTGCCGGGTGACGGGGGAGCCTGAGCCCGACATCAAATGGTATCACTACACTAAGGTACGAAACATTCTGCAGATATTTTATTGTCTCACATGTCCGTCAGTCACTGGATATGAGACTTCTACAAGAACTTCTACCCTCATACTTCTACAAACTATATTCTAAATACCTATTCCTATCGCCTTTGTGTGATTGGTTTAAATATTATATCAATTACTTATACTTAGTGTGCAATAATATAGCAATATGCCATAGAAAGCTAATGACTGTAAATTAATCTAATTTGTAATCTGTAGATAATTCGCGAATGCTCTGACTTCGAGACTGGCTATGAGCTTGGCACTGCGCGGTTGAAGATCAAGCAAGTGACTGCTGACGATGAGGGCACTTACACCTGCGAAGCATACAACTATCTCGGCAAAGCAACCTCTAAAGCTTGTCTTGTCGTTTATCGTAAGTTCTTACAAAAGCGAAAGGCCATTTATGGTTTCGTTTTGTATCAGTAACAAACTAGCAATATGATATTATTGATTTTCTCGATTAAGAGACATTTACTTTGCTGTAAATATCCAAGTACAGACACAAAAAAGTGGTATACAATGTAATATGATATGGAACCAAAATCCATACTTGAATGGTCAATCTCCTTTATAATAATTCATGATGAATCCTTTCATTGATTAAATATGTAATTCTTAATTAAGACCAGAATAGCCAGCTTTAAATGTTTAATTCCTAATTAGGACAACTTTTTTAAAACCTCTTAAGAATGACTAGGCGGAATGTAGAAAAATTTCTAATGATTATTTTGGTAATACAGCTGCGGGTGAGCCAAATACTTTGAGCCAAAGACTACGGAGGCCTCCAGTGTTATTGTCGGCCGCATCTACCCCGCGGTCTACGCCCGCTCGATCAATCTCCCGCACCCGAACACCCGGTTAGTACCACACATATTCTACAACTAAACAACATAACTGCAAGATAGATAATCTAACAAAGCAAAACCAAGGGACATGTTAAGAGTAAATTTCGAAATTAATCAACAAGCATACTATCTATTTACAACCTAGTAATGCAGTTTTGCTTTCTTTACACATACTAGCAGCAGTCTTTATACCATCGTTTATGCTGTTACAGTAGACGAGTAGTCGAGCTACCTATTTTTGTTTAAATATAACTTGAATCAATTACATGAACCTTGTAAATTTTATTTATAAACCAACAAGACAAAACACTCATTACTATTCTCTTAATATGAAATGGAATATGAATCTAAGTTAATATTATATCTTTCAGGTCCAGACATAAGAAGTCTTTGTAGCCCTGCCCGTGAGATAACACCAAAGTTCTATACCTATCCTTATAATAAAGTGGCAGAAGAAGGCGACACGGTAGTCTTTCAGTGTGCGGCGAAGGGCCTTCCCGCACCGTGGGCGACCTGGGACAAAGATGGCGTCGTCATAACACCCTCCTGTAGAATAACGATTAAAGAGAAGGACGAGATATTCAGAATTTTAGAAATCGAAGAAGTAAACAGCGAAGATGTAGGACTGTACAGAGTGACCCTGGAAAACGACTATGGCAGGGCGGAGGCAACTGCGAGGCTCGAAGTTATATCACAAAAAGGGAAGTTCTACGCCAGTGGGAGATCCTATAGCGCCTCCCCGAGGAAGTCTCTGCCGTACAAAAGGAGTATGTACTCCCTTCCGAGACAAGACTGACGAAAACCGATTACGAAACTTATTTTGTTCACGTAGATTTAGAAAATCGGCGCCCTCAATTTTATTAAAATGTAAGTATATAACGCAATGTAATGCGCTTTCGCGAAATGGGTGCCCACATGTATTATTTGTTTCCTGCGTTGCGACTGTCGTTACATAATATGTAGAGGTAATGCGAACTAGTTATCATGATAATGTAACCTAATAATCATGTCGCCAAAATGTTTGTAACTGAGCGAATGTATGTTATTGTACCATAACTAACGGAAGTTGTTCGATATACTCGTAGTGTTGATCGTATTTTAACATGACATTAATTATAATTATCTTTACATTTATTACAGAAACTTTTCTCTAATGGCTGCCGCGTGTGACGTCTTGATAACAGTTTTATTACATTTATTTAAGTGCATTTTATTTATTATAAAAACATAATATTTTTTATTAATATTTATCAAGAAAATTATTATTCTTAAATGTTAACATTGAAATGTGGAAAAATTCGGATTTTTTCTCCTAAACTATTATTTTTAGCCAATATTTATTAAACAGCAATTAAAAGCACCATGTAGAAAGTTTGAATATATGTAAGTGATATCATATATGAATGTGTTATTGTAGGTGTCCACAGTAGTACACACCTTCGAGTCAGGTAGAATATATGTTACATTATGAGTTTTTTGTTGTTTTATTGTTCGCCCCCTTTAAACGACATAGAACACTTAAGTTTACTAAACGATTATTCATACCACATCATGACACACGCATAATGTCTTCGATAAAAAGGATAAAACATATTACGATAAACTTGTAAAAATATTCTGTAAACATAGGCAGCAGAACTTTTATCAGTGTCGAAAATTTTGTATACCTGGGAACACTTATAAGCGCTTCAAAAACATCAAAAAATGCACTAAACGAAGATAAAATAATTTTGCCTTTTCTCAACTATTGTTTGATTAATTTTTTTACAATAATTTTATGTTAAGCGTCGACTTGCACTGTCAATTAAATAAATAATTAATTTGTTTCTAAGTAAATCATAATAATCTATGTAAATGCACTATTTGGATGGATAAATGTTTTTACAATGGTTTATAAATATTTACCAATATTATTATTTTAAATACCTGCCCCATTTCGTTATTAAAAAAAAACAAAAACTAGAAAGAAATTTGCAAACTATGAAATACAGATTGCGCTTTTCTTCGTGGTACCCAATTTGACGGCGAAGATTGATCTCTATTTCAGTATGCGACAAAATACTCTGTGGTCTGTTGTAAAGAAAATGTTAGTTGTTAACTCAACAAATTCCCTATTCCTAAGGGAACACATGTATAATATGTTTAGTTTTGTAATTTAAAAAAATTGTTAGTCACTAATTGACTTATAAATATTTTTCTGATTGTTTTTATTACCTATTCATTTCAAATCGCAGTGACCGCATCCTTACTTGTAACGTGTTTTGTGCAACTGGAAGTATTTCCTTCATGACATAAAATAAACAAGGATTTTGGTTTTTACCATACTCTTTTACTTATGTAATAAGGAATTTACTGTGTGTACTCAGACATAAAACAAGAAACTAGTAGTCTGATGCTTTTATACCGCAACGTTTCGTTCAAACCACCATTTCTATTATTCTCTAGATAAGCACTGATTTTCTAGTTATATTGTAAGGTACAAGTATTTCCCTTACTAAACAGAAGGATTTTCCTTAAATGTGGAAACATTACCTTATTGGTAACCCTAAATGCTCAGAGGCGTCCTCCTGTCAATGTCAAAAAGGTGTCACAATATCCTTGCAAGACTATAAAAGTCCTAAGTTTACATAGTGCTACAAGGCTCTTGTTGCACCTTTTTGACATTGACAGGATGACGCCTCTGAGCATTTAGGGTTACCAGCAATATGTCCGCATTAAAGGGAAATTCTTGTAAAAAGTGTACATTTTGAATAATGCCATTTTTCTATTTATCCGATCTACTGATGTACATATTGTTATAAATCTCGATACAAATGATTTTTAAAAAAAATATGGTAGTCGGGCGGTAATATGAGCAATACTGGTGAATTACTTTAAAACGAATACACTAAGGCAAAAAAATATAATAAAATACTAATATACGTAAAAGATATCGAACGTTCCGTGGCGACGACTAGAAATGTACTGAGCTACTGAGCTACTGAAGGATCTGAGATATTGACGGCTAGAGAGCTTGACAACGACTGCACGACTGCGAGACTGCCTGCCTGCCTGCCTGGAGGCCTGAAACTTTGCAAAAGGTTTTATGAAACTTCCCTCCCACTACTACTTCAGTTTCTATTATTTTGTAATAATACATATTCATTGCAATTTCCCAAAAAATTAGTTGTAGAATTTATTTTATATCGATTTCCATTTTTGTTTATATTTAGTAATACGTAATGTATACTGATTATGTTCATGAACACGTTAACGCCATATTTATTTTTCGGGTAACTAAAAAAATCTGGATAGCATTTGCTTTCAACCATCAAGTTTTGATGCATTAATATTGACTGGTTATAACTTTCAAGTGGATTTTGATTTAAAATTACTATTTGACAGAAAAAGGGTTTTTATAAATTGACGCCAAAAATTGTATAGTGACTTGTGAACTATTCCTTGAAAAAATCGGTGATTATTGTTAATAAATTGAAAGTATTGGAAAATTATGGAAGTATTAGGCCGAATTTCAACCACATTTGAAAATATCAAAAACACGATAAAAAATAGAAACTCGTCTGAAGGTCTGCTGAATCTGAAGAAAGACATTCAGATACTGAACAAGGAGCTCGTGATGTTCGGCAAGGAGAACCACGACCAGTACGTCAGGTCTCTGGCCATGGAAGGATATATAACACTGTTATCCGTTAAAACAATGCCCATTGCTTTATCTGATAAAAGAAATATTTTACAAGAATCTTTTGAAAAATTGAAACAGTTCGCACTTAGGGAGGAATGTCTTTTTATTATGTTAAGAATCCAGAATCTTTTATGTTATTATCTCATACAATTAGATGAAGTGACATTTGCCAAGGAAATATTAGAAAGCATGGAAGATGTTTATGAAAAAATAAACAAATCGCTGTCGGAAAATTTCTATGATGCGGAAGATTTGTTCACAACAGAGCCTATTACAAAAATCAAAAGAGTAAAACCAGAAAAGATTGACAAAGTTATCACAAACAATGTTCAGATGCAAGCATTTTTATATAACAAATTAAATTTGCCTGAGAAATATACCCTATATAACCACACAGCTCTGAGGCGACAGTTGGAGATGAAAGAGGGTACACCACAAGACTGGGCGCTGCGGACCGCCCGCCTCGGCAACTACTTCACGTATCTCAACCAGCTCAGCAATGCGCGCCATCATCTCTCCGCAGCCTATCACGTCCTACGCACCTGCCATGACAACTGCAAGCTTATTCCGGAAGAATTCGTTCTTCAGAAAGCTGAATTCGAAATGCATTTCTTAGAACTTAGTCACCACTGGGTCAAATACGGTTTGACACTGTTTAAATTATCGAGGAAGAAAATTTTAAACCGTTATTTTTCAAATCCGACAACTAAGTCAAACTTATGGAAAACCGTAAACCAAAATGATTTAGAAGAGAGAGTAGTAAATGTTGAAAAGTACGAGGAAGACGATGTAAAGGAAGTTCCTGAAAAAAAGGGAAAAGGAGATGGAGCCTCAAATAAGCTCTACATTTTCCCTTCTCTGAATTTAAAAGATATAGAAAATCGAGTACCGGTGGAGATGATATGTGAAATTGAAGAAGCCAGAAAATTATTTACATTTACGCACAAATGGCTAATGAGAGCGAGACACTTTTACGATTTCGAGCACCACAGTGCACAGTACGTATCCTGCTCTCTCCAGTTGGCAGAGTTGTACGAGCATTTAGCATTCTTCGAGAAAAATATCGACAATCAATATAACATACAAAAAAGACGGGCTGACGTGCTGGAAGCGTTGAACTCATTATTGAAGAACTGCGATACCGTGATGTCGGTACAGATTGACGTAATCAAAGAGCTGTCCCAAGTCCAGCTCGAGCTGATGGCCCTCAACTTGCAAAAGCTATGGCGCGAGGAGTCGCAGACTAACATATTTAACTTGGATGCAGATGCGGACTCTATTATAAATTCTTTGGACTCCGAATCTAATAAGACGTTGACGGAGAAAACTTTAAATGCATCTAGCAAAAATTTATTCCTTCGCAAGATGGAAGCGGCGACTCTTATAAATGGAAAGTTGTTTCGCTTGAGCGGTCAATTAGACGCCAAGACGCCTTCGCAGCTCAGTTTTGCCACCGACATCTTGAAGAACTGATTTACAGGTTCCCTTGTTTTGCTCAGTAACACTTCACTTTGAATACATTATACATTTAAATAAAACACCATTTGCAGAACGAGCTATATTTAAGAAATCTACTTAATTATTTTAAACACTGTAGCATCTATTATAAAATAAAAATCTACAAGCCCCACTAGTCCCGTGTTTGTCAAATAATTCTGCAGATGTTTTATTATTACATTTTCACAAATTTATGTCTTATGTCAGCAAATAAGTTTTCCTCCCACATTAAAAGAGCAATAAAACGACCGCAAGAAATGTAGAAAAACATAGAATAAAAAATATGTTTTGGCAACAGGACTTATGGTATAAGAGATTACAATTAAACTACATCGAATAATCTAGAGAAATAAAAAAAATATTAATAAACAGGTTTACAAAAAACTAAACGGTATTTTACAACATTATGACTAAAGAGATTTTGAAACATTTATATTTCAAGTTAAGTACCAGACCTCTTAAGTTACAATATATGTTTATAAAATGCAATTTAACAATATTACGCTTATGACTATATCGTACGGAATAGTTATAACCTATTACATAAATGGAAGGAAGGAAGTACAGGTAATTTTGATTGTGTTGCACTGTTAAGCAATTTATTCATTAAAAAAAAACAATTTGACAAATTATACGTTCATGTTTCTAGAGACAAAATATGCTACACTCATGCAAACATTCATGAAAGAATAATTACATGATTCTGAATCATAATTTAAGAAGCACATAGATTTGTTTATTAATGAGTCAACATATTTATTACAACATTTTTGCAAAAATTGCTGAACTGGAAGTAAATTTTGTGCATTATTAAGTTTTAAGAGCTAATAGAAGTAACTAAGAGAACTTTCCAACGAATAGGGGTCTAATTATAGTGAATATCTATACTGTAGTCATCATCTTAAATTATTTAGAAACCTTTTGTTCACATAAAGCATTACAAAGTTACATTTACTTAACTGTGGAATTCCAATACTGTATACTTATATAAAAACATGTTTCTAATTTTAAAAGAGAAAGACTACATGGTTTCAAGTGCGTCGACAGTGGAGTAAAATATAAAAAAACAACATTAAATCTATGCCTTAAAATTAAAAATGTAGAAACAAAATTAAAAATCTAACTTTTTCAGCAGCTTTGATGAGCATATAATTAATTAAACATAATCACAAACACAATCATTAGTTTCTTAGAGTAATGTGGATTTTTTTTTATTTATACTTTACTAAACTTAGTCATTTTTCTATTTATTTGCAAGTTTCAAAATTGTTTAAAACATGGAAAACAATGAACAGATATTATGTTTCATGAGTCTACAGCAATTATAAAAAATATCGTAATAATTATCCTCGTAAGACATTCCTCAAGAAAGTAAAATATACTCGAACTTATGCTAACAAAAAATAAAATATATTTCAAGTTTTTCATTAAAAACCTTTAGCTTTTTATTCTAATAGCATAACAGTTAAAAATAGCATAACAGTTTGTTACTAACAAACAGTACAAACAAATCAGGATCTTGTCAAAAAAAAAACTGTTTTTCAAGAGAAAATAAGATTCACATAACGTAAGGTTTTCAAATATGTTGTCGGCTCAAAACATCTCTTGAATCACTGTAGCCCGACAAAAATATTTCCGGAATTGTATAAATGATAAATGTAATGTAAATAAAAATTAGTTGAGCAATAATTTATCATGTCAAAACCTTAAATGACAACCCTGAACGATTAATATTGAAGATTATTTTTATAGCAAGATAAATCCATGGGGTGACAATATACATTTGTGTATATGTACTTTTAATTAAAAATCTTATTATATGTAACGAATGTACATTTAGGCGAAATTTGTGCGCTCATAACAATATTCAAAAGGGGGAATTAGTAAACTCTTTATTAACTTACTACTATACAAAATTGATGTAGTATCAAATATTTTTAACGATTTATTTGGCTACAACCTCGGGTGTCCAAATGAGGTTTTAGTGTATGGCACGTTTTGTTTTATGAATTTAAGTTACTTGTGAAACTTGATACATTATTAGCTGCCTAAGTATATTATAATAGAATTTCGTAAGGAACATAATAAAAACAGAAAAAAATCCTGTAATCAGTAATTAATTATGAAAAATTGATGAAAAAATTAAAGGGCATAGGCATTATTGTTATTTATCTAATTTAATAAATTTCAGTTCTATAGTATTTAACTATCGCCATAAAGTCGACGCAAAAATACTTCGTATAAAAATCTTAAATCCGATTATTTTTATCCAATTCGTCTTGATTACAAATTGTCAAAAAAAAACAAGACTATTTTTTTTATTAGTCTTAAATGTTAACTATGACAATAATTTGAAAGTACACAAATATGTTCTTCGAGAATCCATATGTTTATGTGTATTTATATAACAATGAAATTTAAACGAGAAATCAAATGAGATCAGGATATATGAACAGAAATGTAACATGGTACTTAAATAAAGTGTCAAAACTAGTACAATTATGACGTTATGAAGATGTGAAAATCTAAATTGTTTATATAGTTATGTGGTGTACACACTAAGGTATATAAATATACATTAACTACATAAGCATGCTTTGGTTGAAAACATTTACTACTAGAAAACATAACTGGTATAAAAAATGACGAACTCTAACTTATAATAGAACTCAACCTAATTATAAATGCTTCTTAGAAAGACGAGTTCAAATAACAACTCGTAATGATAACTCTATAAATTTATAATGGAATGCTTTAATTAAAAGTTAAAAAAAAAAAACAAACATGTATTATCAAAACTATTAAGTTTAACTTAATTAAATAATAAAATGCAAAATGTAGTTATAACCTATTTAGCCAATGAAATAATTCTTAATTTGGTTATAAATTTATGTGTACCAGTATTAAATACAACATAAGAATGTTAAACTTCAACATCGCCATTACTTATTACATTTAATCTACAAAGTAAAGATCTTTAAGATTATGGAAGCATATTATGGAAAGGGAAAGACAAAGCTTTTTGGAATATACAAGAATTAAAAACTATCAATGATTATTTAGTGCCGAAACTATTGTGTTAAAGAATATTGTTCTCTCTATTACTATAATAACAGATGTCAATATCATTTATTACAATTGTTCCGACAGTAGAAACCTAAATTTACTTGATTAGTCATTTGAAGGAAGAATCCGGTTTGAACGCCTGCTGTTTACCTCGCATCTCTTCTATTTAATACTTCAGTTAGGATGGCATTCGCATCTATATCGCTGTCATCGCTTACTCCATTATAATGCACATGATCTTCTAGCAGTGGCTTGCCGTATTCTCCATTCAGCAGGGGTGACCTCATCTTGTTCATTGAGTTGAAGTCATCCACATCCAAAGCCCTCACAGTACCAGCGACAGCCTTAATCACGAGAACCTTGTGGATGATATGCCCGATGATGCCCAACAGGCACACAATCAGCCCGACAACATTAATAGCGCTTAGTTGATCGCCGCTCACTTCCACTGCCAGTATCAAAATACACATTTCCTGTAATAATGATAATGTATAAGACTTCGAAAAAGAACACGAGCACATGGTTCACTAAATGTGTTATTCGCTTAAAATTAAATGTGTAATTTCTTTGGGTTCAAATAACGAGGATCACAAAATTAAAGAAAAACTTCGTGGAAAAAACTTTATGGATGCTAAGGAAGCAGTGACTTCGTTCCAGAAGGCCATCGAAAAGACCCTGCAGCGATGTATTCATGTGAATGGAAGCTATTTTTAAAATACATCTATTCTATTATAATAAAGCGTATACACACACTTCTTTGTTGCCTAAAATGTCAGTAATTACAGCATGTTTTTGATTAAATATTTTTTTAATAAAAAGCCTTATATTTACATCACGCTTTAGGCTATACATTTTCACGCCATTAAACTTAGGGCGTAAATATTTTGAATAAAAACCCTAATGTGGGAAAGAGACCATAAGTTGCTGCAAACATCAAGGAAGCAAGATTCCCATACTTTGTCATCATGTCGTCATTTTGACATTTAATAATAAGGTCGCTATTTTTAGGTATTAATAAGAATAAGCTTTGCTAAGAGTCTGTCCATCTCCCATATATTTATCCTTTCGGGTAAAACAGAATGGCTATGATGTTTTGTCTAGTTTGGTATAAAACTTTTATAGCAAGTACCTTGAAAATGCCCGCAATCGATAGAGTCAGGCTTGATGTGTAGGTGACGACAAGAAACTCGCTGATCTCCATAGCAAAGGCCAGTATCGCACCAACGGACACCTTCAGAATGGTAGGCAGTAATTGTTCTTTGGTCAACGACGCCAGGTAATCAAAGCAGGTGGTACCTGGAATTAATAACAATGAATTTTAAACAAAACAATACATATCTCGTGGGCTACCTAAACACTAAACATATTTTCATTCTAATACGCTTACAAAAAAGAGATTACAATATGTTTTGGAAATAGAAACTGGTTATATCGTTAAAAGTTAGTCGATGTTTATTAAAAAACTTATCATTTATACAGAAACACTAAATTGAAGGCTATGTTCAATCACGAACTGAAACAATCACAATTTACCTTAATAACCTGCGATAAAGAAAGCCGTCTATAAAAATGTAAATTTTACGCACACCTTTCCGTTCTGCACTATATCGCTGTTTCCCGTTGGGCCGATCGGTCAATCGCTCTATTGGCCCAGTGGATTTTTTCCCCTTGGGCCGATTGATTTAACATATGGGAAATCGTGTTCACATTCAACAAAAAACCTGTACAATCTACCGATTGATCAGTCTAACGAAAAACGCCCATTGCATTTAATTTTTTAAAAATGAAAATTTTGAAATATTTATACTATTTGAAAAAAAACCCGACATCCAGAGCATATAAAGGGGGCCCTAGACAGCGTAAGAATAGAACTGCACTGACATTTATACAAATTATCATAAACTACAATATGTGCTGTATAAACCAAAACCCCCAATACCTACGAGTATGACACTCCAGGGAAAGATACTAATCGAACGATGCGTCATTCGTCAAGATCGGTTCAGGGATTAAGGCGAAGTTCGTCTCAACAGAATTCATTAATACATAAAAGATACAAGCCATATTACCATAACTTCAGTCGGATAACAATACCAATAGAACATAAAAACGGATTATTTAGTAAGATAACATTGATTGTATAAATGTCGTCGTAACCCAAGCTTATGTACATAAGTGTTGAAAACGTTTAAAAAACAAGACTGTGTTCGTCATTATCACTTCTTTACCATAAAATATGGCTTGCATAAACGACAACTAATCTGAATTTCAGATTTCATGATCTACTTACGTGTTGAATGGTGTATTGAATTATGCTAATTCGGTTTAATTTTCTGCACATAAAGGTTGTGGCAAATAAATAAATAATTTTATGTTCCATACTTCTATTCTATTTACAAAAAGATATATCTACACACAAAATCGTCATTGCATTACTCGAGTATTTTATCATCGGATCTGTTACTACATACATCTTAGGTTTCCCAACTATTTTCAGTGGATAGTTAATGATCATTGACTATATAAAGCATTCCCCCTTTACTTGATAAATCAGAGATTTAGGATAAACGCTATGTACGCCCTGCCAGCTCAAGCCCGGTTTACAGTGGTAGAGCCCGCTTTAACATCTTTGCATCTTACCACGACCACAGAAAAGAAGCGTGAAGTGGAAGCAATTACGCGTTTCATCTGATGAGTGTAGTGCCGGAAGCCCAATTTTAATCCCTTTCCACCCCTTTCTTAAAAAGAAAGGATGGGAAGGGAAAGTGGATTTGACGGTGGAGGAGACGCTTAGAAAGGGGAAATGTTATCTTTACGTGCGTCTCCTCTGTCGATTAAAGGTAGGCAACGCGTCTGCAATTGCGGATGTTTATGGGCAGCGGTCGCTTTCCATTTCGGTGGATTCAGGTGGCCGCTTGCTCGTTTGCTACCTTATATATAAAAAAAATCTAAATATTCCTCTTCGAGCCAAACAGTGGCAACTCAGTCACAACAAAAACAAGATAAATCAAAATGTCAAAATAATACTGTAGAGGTCTAAAGTTTTTGTTAAATATTAAATACAAAGTCGCAGGAAACAGCTAGTATATTATATACCTTATTTGCTTAATAAATCCTATCAATTATTTATACATCAAGAAAAGGACATACAAATGTCGAGCTGCTATTTATTCCAGAAAAAAACAAGGATACCACCAATTGTTATTTGAAATTCTATTATGTTAAATCTGTCGTCGTCAGTGCTGAAATTTACATTTCAAAAGAAAACAACTTTGCACATGAGCTAAAATGTACAAAACAAATGTCATTTTTATAACGAACAGTACTGAAATTATTAGAAAAACTAAACCAGGCCCTTTATTGTAGGCAAATAAAATTTAATATCGAATTAAAATAATAAAATTCGAGTACAAAACGAATTTCACGAGTAGGTTAAAAACTTTTGGAATCTCGCCGTGTAATATTAAAATCAAATTATCAGAGCAATAAAATTTTAAGTGAACAATCTAAATATTAAAAAATATCACAGAAATGCAAGATATTTTTAAACATTTAAATACATATCCGGTTAACGTAAATCCTCAAGAATAACTTTAAATTATCTTCTTTCTAAAACTGAACACCTTTGTTTTAACATAAACCTCGTAAAACTTTACGAGGTTAAGTTTCATCAGAAATTTCGAAATGTCAATACTAAAACCTTTCCGCGAATTTTTCTTTAAAGGCTACCCATATATGCGGCAATTAGAAAACTTGTACTCGTACTCGTCATAACAAATAACCAATTGAGTTACTTCGTAACTAAATAGTATACTCGTAAGTGTGAATAGTACAAAATAGAAAATATTTTTCATCAATTAGTATAAACTCACCTTCGAACACTATAGTGAAAGGTAGCAGCGACATGAACATCCAGGGTTGCACATGGAACACCATATCCACAGGATTGTCAAGACCCAGCTTGGACTTCTGCATCAGAAGTTGCGCGAAGGACCATCTCAAACCAGCAGCGAACGATGCTAACAGGAGGAAGTAGAAGCCAAGGAGATTGAACTGCGTCGCCTTGTAGGTGAACATGATCAGTCCAGAAGCGATCATGATAACAATTCCGACCAGGGACCAAGACTGCAGGAAAAACAAATTTATTAATTACCACAATTCTAACACCCAAATACATTTTTGATATCTATATATTACACCTAACGTAAAAAGTTTCACGAAAAGCGTGCTTCCCTGTACCGATCGGACCACCGATAAATGTAAATTTTGTTTCCGACCAATTGTTTGTATATTTTAACCCTATTAAAAAAATAATGTCAAAAAATGTGTAATGTAGGGGTGTTAATGAAACGGCGGTTGGTACTGGACTGATTTATTATTAGTAAGCGGACGGTACATTATATTAAGATACCCTCATATATACCACACTATCTCCTCCTTTAAAAAAAAATTGCAAAATACATATTAAATTACACAAAAGAAAAAAAATAGGACATAAGGAAAACATCAATTAAATAAGTCAAGTAAAAATAACGTCTATAAATGTAAATGTTGCAGCTAAATTGATAATACATATTTACACAAAAGTTACTAGATACTACAACATATTT